TTTGACGCAGCGTCCCGGAACAGTGTCTAGATTTACCCAGCTCCCTTTCACCTTAGTTCATATGTTTCAGCTGTTTTGTTTTCTATATGGGGCTTTAAGGACTGTTCTCTACTGGATTTCTACCTACAAATAAAACACAGATAAATATTCAGTTAATACTGGTTACATTTTAGATAGTAGACATTATAAATTGAAGTTTGATTAATTAAAGTTTTCAAGATGTTAATGTAAACAAAAAAAAAAACAAAAAAAAAAAACTTCTTCTCTAACTCAGTTTACAGATTTTTGAATTGTAGCCTATTTTGCAAAAACATATGATACAGAATATGACAATAGTGACAGATATTATGATAACTGTGTGATCTATATGTGCACATTTACAAGTATTGTGTAATGTTTTAACTATCACTGTTGACTTATAGCTGCTGTAATAAGGCAAAGTTACGTTTTCTTTCTACTCCTTTTGACTCAATTATTATCTTTTTAACGTACCAATTTATGATATGGCTGATGACTCTGTGAATTAAATAAAAAATATAAACAAATTAAATAAAAAATAAACATAACATCAGCTACAGTTTGCGCATATAATTACGCTAAATCATATTCTATTCTATGCGCTAAAGTAGAAAATATGAAAATAGCTAATAGTTTTTTGGGGGAAATGGAACAAATAACCACCCAGCATGGAAACTGTGTGCGAATACTAACGCTCCTCCACACGATATAGACTGTTTATGTTGTGATTTGTAAAAACTGAATTGTCGCATGAATTATTAAATTGGAATTGTATTTGAGGTCTCCCGCCAGATTGAGACATCAGACTAACCCGCCACGAGAGCATCCCCTAAAATGAATTTTTGATGCGCTCCCTCCCTCCCTCCTCCCTTCTCTTCTTCTCTCGGCCTTATTAATACCCGTTTTGATAACCGTACTATAGGATTTCCTCGGGCTATACGCAGCGACTGAGAAAGACGTCGGTGTTGAAACGTGACAGCGGGACCCTCCCCATCCATCCTCCTCCTCTCCTCCCCTTTTATACGTCTCTTTTTGGGGGGCAGCGTATTTACCCAATCCATCCAGAGACAATGGCATTTTGTTCCTCCGTTTTGTCCGCGCTGTCGAGCCGCATTCCGACAGCGCCGAGCAACCACAGCGCGGGCTAAATGGAGAGGAGTAGCCGCAGTACCGCGCCTTTTGTGCGGCCACTTGCAAAGGGGAGTCTCGGGGTCTCGCACCGCAGCACATTTGCTCTGATTTATTTAAGTGACTGCGTATGGTTGGAGCCTTTTATTCGCCACATAATTAGGGATTAACAAGCGCTTAAGGTGAATTAGGGGGCCATTATGTTACTGTAAATCACGCCATAGGTGAAGTTTTACGCACAGGAGGAGAGAGCAAAGGCCAGAGCTGAAGTAAAAGCAGAGGTGTCAGGTCGTGAAAAAAAGCAAGAAAATGTCCAATATTATATTTTAGAGTGCGTTTTCCAATTATAGAAGTAGAAAACACAGACTAAATGTTTTTTACTAATTAATAAAAAATAAATAAATAAAGAAACATTTGCAAAAAAAAACACCACTATCCTGTTTTTCTTGTTGTCAATGCTTAAACGCTTTTTATTAATTAGTTTTGTTCATTTATTATTCTTTTTGTATATATATAAAATAGGCTTATTAGAAAACGACTGAGCTATATTATATGAATAATTCATTGTGTCGCTGTAGCCTATTAGGGTTATGCGTAATAATCTTTCTTTCTTGCTATTGGACAATTTCAACCAGAGAACTGATTAATTACAGTGACCTTTAAAAGCATATTTTTTTCTTGATTAAAAAAATCTGCCTCAACTTGCAGCCTATGTATTTTTATAGTGTAAACATACTAACTTGATTCTTCTTGCTTCCCATTGTTTTACAGGCTAAACAAAAAGTCTCCAGATGTGACCAGCTGGATTGCGCCGCAGTATTACGCACGCACACACATGGCACAAACATGACGCAGAGAGCAGGTGAAATGAATAAGATGTAGAGAGTAAAAGGCGCCCGTGTGAATAGCTGGTACGCTTTAGAGAAGACGCTATAGAGCACCAGAACACAGAGTGAAAGAGGCCGGTGGCTAAAAGCTTTAATTGTATTTGCCTCGGCGAAATATCCGAAAAGGCCGCTCGTTCCTTTGAGCGTTATTAGATTATTGGTCAGAGATGTGGCTTTTTTCGCCGCCAGACGCGTGGAGGGAGGACGCTGCGCCATTTGGCTCTTTGGTTTCAATAATCAAATTAAGCATTTGCTACAACTTTTGGGTCCCAGCTCGTGTGTGTGTTTAGAAGAAAACCCCAAAAAGAAAGCATTTACATAATAGGGAGCAGGTTGATCCGTGCGAAGACAATGTACACAGAAAAGAAAGGGAGAGACACACTACGCCACGGCAGCGATTGTGCAGGGAAATTGATGGAGGTTGTGGTTTATTTTAACAAATCATTTAGAGGCGCACCTGACGGCTCCCAGCACAAAACCTATGGGTGTAATAAATGCGTTCGGCCACGTTTTAAATCCGAATGTATCAATCAACTAAATATTTGGCTACAGCATCAAGGTCGATAGCTATGACATGAGAACTGCAATCATACAAGCGTGAGAAAATGGAATAAAGAATACATTTTCCATTTTCAACTTAAAATAATGATCATTTTATAACTGGCTACTGTACTACGTCATTTCTAATGACCTAAGCAACTATTTGTAGATGAATTCGTAAAGAAATGTCTCGAAATTATTAAAATGTAAAATGTAAAATGTAAAAGACATTCTTATTAAAAAAAAAAAAAAAAAAATGTATTAATTACATTTATATAATATAGTAGTTCCAATATGATCGAACTTGGCAACGTGAGTTTTTTGAGCATGGTATTGATTTCTTGCCCAATTCCTGTGAAAATATGACATTATAAAAATTGATAGGGTCTTTCATATTAACATTAATAGGCTAATTAGAGGTATGGAGAAATAAATATATTGCAAAGCCATACACTATCATAATGTAATCGAATTTTTGACCAATAAACAAGGTTTCTGAATTGTGTTGTCGTTAATTCATTTTTAATTATGTAATACTGGACATAGTTTTTGATATGAAAAGAAAATAGTCTAATTACTCTCACCATAACTGCACTTTTATTGAGTGTTATCTTATAATTGTGATAAAATGCCATTAGATCCATCACTCCAGTGGGACAAACAAGGCACAGACATAACTCTGAGCTCTCCTGATAAACGTCATTACGCACTATTATTCCTATTACGCCTTTTCGTGTCGTCTCTAATGGAGGCGGCTCGGAGTGTGCAGGACTTGAACTCGGCGTGTGGAAGTGTGCGAGCGCCCGCGTAAAAAGCCGTGCGCCGCGCTTCACCTGATTACAACCCAAACCGAATTACGCACTGAGCCAATACAGAGCCTGAGAGGTCCGACCAGTGCCTTGCCACTTCGTTACTTTCATTACCGAGATGTTATTTGGCAAATAAACGGAATAATGAACGTAATAAAGAAGATTACGCACTCATTTGAATCATAAAAACACACACACACGAGGAAGTTTGGAGAGGAATGTGCTGGAGCAGGGTGCAGCGTAGGCTGGGTCGTTGGAAAGCTACCACAGTTGGAGAAATACCGCAGTTTGGAATAGTTTAGAAACCCACGCAATAAACCAACAATAGAAGGATTTATTAGTATGCAAATTAGCAATTCAAATCACAAAATTGTCAAAATATAAAATTTATAATAGCATCCCGACTCACTGAATCGAAACATTATTGGGGAATTGGTTTTTACGCACAATAAACTTACGATAAATACAAACATACTGTGCGTAATTATGTCATTTTAAAACGTAAAAAAGCTATTTAGTTTTAACTGTGTAAAAGTGACATTACCAGTCCGTCTGTTTCCGTTATTTGCCCACCAAACCAAATGAAGTGCTGCATTATAACATCTGTGCGTAAAATTGTGTGTGTGTGTGTTATTAAATGCGTATTATTAAATCTCTCTCTGCTTTGGAAAAACACTGCTTTGAAGGCGAAAATCTGACAAGTTGCATCGGTGCCCAAACGTTACTGCCCACATTCTTTACCCACTATTTGTCCGCCATACTGGATTCTCTTTAGCTCCACAGACTATGGGATAAGCGCAGTAATAGCATTGACAAGTCTGTATTTTGATTCAGAGCCGAGTGCGCAGAGCCAAGAAGAAGCGATAGTAGCGGCATAGCATAGTGCACCGTGAACGCATCTGGAGCAGAAAGGGGCAGAGAGCGCACGGCAGCGGGGGGAATACTCTGTGAAACCCTGCCCAAGGTATACGCTCGCTTAAAAGGCTTAAAAGCTCGGAGCAAATTGGATCAGGGAGAATCGTCACCCAACTTTCATTATTTCCAAGTGGTGTGATTGAATTAAAGGGCAAGATGGTGGTTGGAGAGGAGCGGGGTGCGCGGGGGGAGACTGGGAGAGAGGAGAAGGGGGGCTGCGTAATGGCGTGGTATTAAATTCTAATTAGAGATGCAGGGGGATCAATGATAGGGAGGTTGGACAGCCCGAGCCCCCAGTGCCAGCCCAATAGACTGATGAGTTATTGTCATGTAAAAAAGCGCTAGCAATAAGACCAAACGCTTTGCTATTGTCCAAGCGGAAAGAGCCAAGTTTATTATGAGGACTATATGCTCTAGAGACCTCGGGCTAGGCGGCTCTTAGGGGGCTTTTCATAAAACAGGGCTAGGTTCCTATAAAGCAGGCCAGTTTTGGAGCAGGCGCTGAGCAGTGCACATCTCGCCACGGTCCAGCCTCCTTTTCAAAGTCCACAGCAAATACGCCAAAGCTCCTTCCACTTCCGAGGCAGCAGCAGCAGGGAGCGTCCACTCGCGTCTCCTGCTCGTGTTTTTCTCCTCCGAGTCGGGTGTTTTTCTTTCTATTTGTTTTTGAGGTGCAGTTTTCGGTCTCCACTTGGCTTCTCCAATGTATAAGATGGAGTATTCTTACCTGAACTCCTCTGCCTACGAGTCATGTATGGCCGGGATGGACACGTCGAGCCTCGCGTCGGCCTATGCGGACTTCAGCTCGTGCAGCCAGGCCAGCGGCTTCCAGTACAACCCCATCCGGACCACGTTCGGCGCCACCTCGGGCTGCCCCTCGCTCACGCCGGGCTCATGCAGCCTGGGGACCCTGCGAGACCACCAGAGCAGCCCGTACGCCGCAGGTAAGCCACTCCGCAGCAGTATTATAGCGTGCCTTGATTGCATTTGAAAATGGAAATGTGTTTAGTATTTACCAAACGAAATTTGCTTACACAAATGAAAGAATTTATCACGTTAGAAGCGATTGCAGGCAAGAGGTAATTCGGTTACAGGGTTATAGTATCCCAGTCACACCCAAAACCGCCAACAGAATTATCTTAAGCTGCCAAAATGATAGGCGTAATTTATTTACTTTGCGATGAGACATAAAGCTTGGCGAATAATTAGATAACCAAAGACTAAAGCTCATTATTGAATTGGAGTTACAGTAGCGACACACGACAGCAGCATTATGACAAGTTTGCGAAGTTGAGCCCCAGTCTGAGCAACAATTAGTTTAACTTCAACAATTAAACTCATCACGGGTCAACGCTGATCCACTCTACAGCCAATCAGCGCAAAACTCAATCCGGACCTGGTGCATTTTCACACGGATTCACTTAAGCCCCCTGCCCCGCTAAAGCCTCCTCTTTCCCCGCAGTGCCCTACAAGCTCTTCACGGACCACGGGGGCCTCAACGAGAAGCGGAAGCAACGACGCATCCGCACCACGTTCACGAGCGCGCAGCTGAAGGAGCTGGAGCGCGTGTTTGCAGAGACGCACTACCCGGACATTTACACGCGCGAGGAGCTGGCTCTGAAGATCGACCTGACAGAGGCACGAGTCCAGGTACGGCCCACCTCCGGGAGAGACACACACGAATGAGCATGAGATGAAACGACTAATGCCACCAACAGCTGTCGAGGACAGTTTACAGTATTTTCACAATTTTGATTTTACACAAAATAATAAGAATTAAAACAGCAAAGTACATTTTCAGTTTAGATGATGCTGTTTACATGTAATCATAACCAATCAATATCAATCAATATCTACGAACGACAATAACAATTTATTGACTTTGCCTTTCTAGATTTTAAAACTCTTTTAAAACTTTTAAAACCAAAATCTAAATGTGTTTTATCTGGCTTTTGTCACCAAATGTATGCGCATTACAGCTGATATCAAACTTCAAACTAATTTTCACTTTGTGACAGTGGTGTTTTAGGCTTTCAGCCACTGAAATAATCTAATATTTTCATGTTTCATCACTCTGAAACCTTTTATTACAAAGGCCGTTGTACACATAATGCAAAAAAAAAAGGAAAAAAAAAAAAAAAAAAGATTAATCAAACCGAAAGCAAAAGCAGCCTATTATAGCCTGCAAGCTGAACGAATATGTTGAATGCATTTGTTTATTTACTTATTTATTTACAAGTTTACTGTGACACCGCTATCGAATGATTCTTACCTCTTTAATCTAACTTATTGTCATATTTTTATTCGGTCAGGTGTGGTTCCAAAACAGACGCGCTAAGTTCCGTAAGCAAGAGCGCGCTGCTGCTGCAGCTGCCGCAGCGGCCAAGTCCAACTCCGGCAAGAAATCTGACTCCAGAGACGAGGACAGTAAAGACAACAAAGCCACAGACCCGGACAGCACGGGGGGCCCCGGCCCTAACCCTGTGCCCACGTCTAACTGCGGGGGCCCCAGCCCTACCGGTGGACAGGTCAACACGTCCGGCAGCGGGCAGGTGGACCCGGTCAAGACCGTGTCCAGCGGCGGCATGGTTGGGGTGACGGCCCCGAGCCAGGGCTGGGCCACCGCTCCGGGGACCATCACCTCTATCCCGGACTCGTTGGGCGGCCCCTTCGCCAGTGTGCTCTCCTCTTTGCAAAGACAGAACGGAGCCAAAGCCACACTAGTAAAGACCAGCATGTTCTGAAGGCCGTGTCTGGACAATAACTCTACAATATGACTCCCGTGTTCTTTCATTTGTCCACCTATCAGCCGCCTCTGTACACACACCGCTCCTGCACTGACGGGATACGCGTAAGGACCTTGTGTGGAGCAGTGACTGTGACTGGCCCGTCCTGTGCGGGCAGAGGACTGCTGACGCCTGTGGACGCTGTGTTTGTCTCCAGAGTTTAGTTTCTTTCAATTGTCTGTAGATCCTTCATGGCATGTACCCCAAGACACGGTGCGCATTTTTGACCCGTTTCCATATTTCATTTTTGAGAAAAAGACTGCTAAGCCTATACAAAATAGTCGTTGTGGATTTTTACTACTTAACAGTTAGTCATCGATCTGCAATAGTTAGTTTTATAGTTATGCAACATATTACACGCTGTGTTATACTTATTACAGTTCTCCCTCAAATGTGCGCACAGTCGGTGACATGGTCTAATGGAGTACGCAGAAGGACAATGACTTTCTGATAAAAGGCACAAACCCCTGCTGTTCCTGACAGGATTCTCTGTTTTGTGTGTCTTTCTACGGCTGTGTTTCGTGGCTCCGATTGTATAGTGTTAATACGTATTCTCGTCTCTAGTTGATCCATATAGGCCATACCCTGTAGACCCACACCGGAGCCGTCCGTGGATGTTCTGACTCTAGATTCCCTCCGAAGATTTTATTTTGTCTAAAAGAAGGGAATGGATGCAAACATATTGTATTTATTTGGGATATAATTTGCATGTTGTCTTTTTGTCTGATTTGACAACTCCTCATTTCGTGAGCATTATGTAACATGTTTTGTCCAGGATTTGAAAGTTATTTATATGTAGCTAATGAATGCTTATATTTAAGAAGGAAATATTTCTACATGTGCACATAGTTTTCCAGGTGTACCATTCGAATGGTTGTTGATGATAAAAAATGAATAGTACAAAACATGTCTTTTGTCACGTTTTCATTGATGTTTAAGTAAGAGCATAGCAGTAAGGTCATCTAAAAATACAGTACAGGTGGAGCCGTCAAACTGGGAGCGCGTCACGGGCCTAGTTTCAGCACCACGGACAGCGCCAACGAAGATTCTGGTTCTCTCAGGATTTCAATTTTACTATAAACTCACAAAATCTTGATCTCTCCGCGTACGTACTAACTTTGAGTAAAATATGAAGTTAGAAATATTTTTAGTTACATTATTAAATTACATTATTTAAGCTTTTTGTTACTTTTGTTAATATACACATACATTATCCTACAGTCCACGTTATTTTTAATCATTTTTTTTCCCACTACATTATTTTAAAAGCTATAATCGGTTTCATTTACATGGTTAACACCAATTTTCGGCTATATTTCTCTGGTGGAGAGTCTGTCTTGAAAATGTTATTGCTTTCCATGGAATGTTCCACAGTATGGCATTAGCTTTCTATCAGTCATTCAGTAACAGAAGTTATGTTGCCCCAAAAAAAAAAAAAAAAAAAAAGACTGCTAAATTTATGCCATTTTGTGGAACATTCCAGGCAAAACATCTCCAAATAGACTGTCCACCAGAAAAGTTCCACAATCCCTCTTTAAGTTTCAGTTCATCCCTAAGGACATCACCACGATTAAAACAAAGACAAACCCCAATGTTCAATACAATATTTTATTTATAAACAGTACAGTACAGTACATTATGCTATAAATGCCTTTTGCATTTAAACATCAGCCCCATCTATGTTTGGGATAGTGTTCATAACAGTATGGATACAATAAATACAGAAGGAGACCAGCCCAAGTTTATTCTTCTGCCATGAAAAGAAAACTCCAATATAACGCTTTTTTATAGAAGCTAAGTACTGTGGATGAGAGCTATGGGGACTTGCTAGTAGCTTCCATACAGCAAATCATTTGGTTTTCAACATGCATTTTACATCCACAATACGCAAAAATAAAAGCAAGTGAGTCAAATGTCCAGCCACACCGCACATCCGCAGATAAACCCAACAATGCAATGCTGTTTCTTGTTCATAATATGTTTTTTTTTAGCAGTTTATAAAGCAATCTTAATGTTGAGCGGTAAGTTGACCTCATAAGAACAGCATAGCATAGTGCTTAAAACATTCGGGATTCAAACGTTTTCAGGGTTTCCATACCACTGCAAACATGGAATAGGAATTTAAAATCGTAAAAATTAAAAGGTAAGGTAACTTTTTATAATAATGCCTTAATTAGCCTTAATAAAGCATGAACAAAGACTTAATTCATAATGAACAAATAGTTTATTAAGAATAAATTAGGTCTCGGAACTACTTGACACTCTGAATCTTAAAGCTACAGTATGAAGATTTCTGGAAGTGGCATGTCATGATTCCATGTCAACAGAAAGTTAAAACCATACTCTGGAACATTCTCCACAGCCAAAGGAACAACATTTCCACGGAAACAAGCAGGAGGCCAAATAAGAGACAGGTCTGTGGAGATGCAAGCCCGCTTATAGCAAGGAGGCATTGTTTTTTACAAGTGAAGTTGCATTTTTGTCTATTTTTTGGCTTAAAAGTTACCGAGTGTGGCTTTAATAAACAATTTGCTCATTACGAATTAAGTTTTTGTTCATGTTTTAATAAGACTGTAAATGGAGCAGTTATTATAAAGTATTATAACAGTACATGAGCAAGCATCAATGGAGAAATCGCCATATTTCTCCCTCACAGCTAAGCACCACAAAGCCGGTGGTTAGCCTGCAATGTCTCGCTTCTAAGGCACATTACAAACTTTTCTGAGTCATCTTATTGCCCTAAATACTCAACTTTACATCCATATCGTTTACATAATAGAATAAAATAATAATAAAAAAAAAAGAAAAAACAAGAATCTCGTTTGTTGCTGAGGCTCTAAATCATAGTTTTTATAGTGACCATTATTGCACTTCTTTACATAAACATATCAATTTTTTCAAGGGTAAAATATATTTCTAGCCTGTTGAACGATGAACTAATCCAATTCAAGCTGCCTGTTTTTCCAAATTAAAAAGCTAAAAATGTTCCACGTTGATGAATTAAGACTTGGTGACATACTGCATTCCTGTAACATGGAACTGAATGGTGATAAAATTGTTTTCAGCAGTAAAAACACAGGCTCCTTTTATGTATGTCATTGTTTTGGAACACCGTATCCAACATGGCCGACGCTGCGGCAGCCCAGCCTTCCCTCGACGGAGCGATCGACCAATCAAATCCGTCCTGATTGATTTCACGGACAAATCAGATGACATATACATAGAGGATATTATTTTGACTGTCTCCAGAATCTGCACGGCGATGGATCCTGATTGGTTCCCGAGGAGGATGCGGAGATGGTTTGTGGGTAATTGTGTTAAAATGGATGAGAGCTCTTCCGCATGCTTCGCTGTGCTGCATCACAACATGGTGGGCTGTCCGGCCGCTGGAGCACAACAACAAAAAGGGAAAAGGATGCAATTATTTGTTAAGTTGAAAATATTTTCGTATTTCAGATCAAGGTCAGAATTGCAGAATGTCGATATGTTGAATAAAAGATGTTACTGCAGTTGTATATTTCATAAGCATGTTCTCAAATACTTGATTTTATAATAATATAATATACAATAAATATCCTTAAAGGGCCCATATTACGCTATTTTGTGATCTATGTTATATTTCCTCGTCAAAAATATACCTGGAGTTGTGTTGTTTCATTCACGAAAAAATCCTGCACATGTTGGTTCTTCTCTCAAACAGAAAACACTCCGACCCAACTTGGGATGATATATGGTAGTACAGGAAGCGCTCCACTATGTTTTTAAACTCCATACACCTTCACTAGAATCATCTGGACATTATCAGCCCTGGAATTCTCAATACCCAAGCTTTGGAGATGTAGATAGACTAATAATAAAAGAATGGCTCAAACAAGTGTGAATGAGACAAAACACAACTCCAGGTATGTTTTTCATCACGTAACAATGCCTGGTAACTACTTAAATAATACCCAAATCCTAAGTCTAACTCCCAACCCTAACATTAAGTAGTTGCAAAGGCTACGTTTATATGATGATGGTCTGAACAGAAGACGCAAAAGTGGCATTGCGTCTTCACTTTTTATTCCACGTTTAGACGAGCGTTTTCAGGAGGAAATCTGCATGCATACAGTGATGCAAAAGTGTGTGGAATTCGATTGGGTATGCATGCCAGGCGGCTCGGTGGGGACACTAGGTGGTGATGTATGTGATGTAAACGTGTACACAATGTGAGCAGATGTGACCATAGTTTTGCGTCTTAGGCAGTGTAGATGGAAACGCTATGGTGGAGCATATTCAACTTTTCCACTCTGGAGGGTGGTTTCAGATTTTTATGTTTTTAAGCCCCAAAAATGCTGTCACTGTCTAAATGAAAGGTACTTCCGATAAAATATTCTGTCGTTTTTATCCGCAAGCGTTCTTATGTAAACAGGCCCTAAGCTTAAGTCATTCTTAATGAACAATTTGTTCTTTATGAGTTAAGTCTTTCTAAAGGCTGTAAATTGTGTGGTTATTATAGAGTCACTAATGTTGTCTGAAAAAATGCTGGTGGTGATGCTGCCTAAAGTATAGGATTAGAATCCTGAGGGTATAGTACATAAATCAAACGCACAGAATTATACGGTTTATAAAGGAATTGTGTCTGAATCGTGATCCACACATCTATAGTAAAAATGTGTACAATTCGCTTGGTGAGAACAAAATGAAAACGTGTTTGTAATGACAACAAGCAAAAATGCAGTGCTTCTATTTTTGTAGTCTACAAATATCCTGACTGAACTTTCCCCATCTTTTGGCACAAGCAGAGAACAACTTTAGCCATTTTAGCCCAAACAAAACTAAGAGCAACTTCCTCAGCTGCTCGACCAGTCCAGGTCAATCAGTCAAAACAGATTTGACAGAAGGCTGACTCAGTTTACATCTGAACACCTTTTACAGAATTTTAATGTCTTATTACATGTTTTAAAAGAAAAACTGCTGCACACTGTCTCACTCTTGATTTTTCTTTTATTAGTATGACGTTTCAGGTTAAAAAAAGAAAATTCAACAGTGAGACAGTGCGCGGGAGTTTTTCTTTAAAAACAGCTAAGTGTCTCTCCTCCAATGCACCTGTCACCCAGTCAGGTATGCAGAGTCTACACAGAAACGAATATCTTATTACATGTATTATCTAGTGTATAGTAATGTATAGTAATAGATCACAATTGTACTAGTGTCTAAACAAAATTGTTAGTTGAGGTGTGACAGCACATTCCTGATTTCCATTAATATGAAATGATGCACAGTCACTTTGCACATACAATATGTTATGTGACATCTGACAAACCAGTTTTATGTTTTGTTTGGTATAGACACATGTCTGTTATACCCTACAAGTTCAATACCATGGGCTTAAAGTGTATAAATAGAAGAAAAGAAATAGAATTTAAAAATAATAACTTTTATGACAAACACAATCGTTATCTCAGAGTAACTATTGCTCCAAACGTACACTTTGCAATCGAGAAAATCTGTAAAAACATGTGGCTGCTTTTACCGCACCTTAACTTCTTTGAGCTCATAACAGTCTTTTCTTTCTCTCCTCTTCTGTAGCAGACACGTCTTTATTAAAGCAGCACTAGCTTGAGTCTTATATTAAAATCACCAGCTTAGGAGCAGGCCCGCAATAAAGATCGTAACTTCAGAAATGCGCCCTACATCTTTATTACAAAACACTGTCACTGCGCCTTTCACAGCTATAAATCTAACAGACTTTTGTTTTTCGCCAGCATATGCCACCATTAAAAGTGCACTTATTAGCCAAGATATGATAAACGACCAGCATTAGCAGACAATAAGGGATGAAACTGCTCAATACTTTGTCATATTTAAGTCGAGTTTTATGAAAAGTTGTTGTGTTCACATTTTGGGATTTGGAAATGGCTCACTGGTTGGAATTCGCTGACGTAATTGATACGAAGTAGGCCAATAATTTTAAAATATTAGTTTTCGATATGGAATAATAATCTTGAATTTAGCTGAAAAAAAAAAAAATTGAGAAAAATCTAGGAGAAATCTTTTTGTCTGAGCCCTTACTGTTGTAAGGTCCTTGAGCAAGACACTTCGCACAGTGAAGTCATGGTATGTAGCTGGTTGGAAATAAGCAATTACTATGGAAATTTGGACTTTTGCATTTATAAAAAATCTGACATAATATCTAGTGTAATTATTGTTTAAATTAATGTTGGAAATAGATTTGTCTAATTTTGTCATCTTATTTCTGCGAGCAAAATTGCACTTGGAAGCATTTCACTTGACGAAAAAAATAAAAAATAAACAAGCTAATGAAAAGCAAAAAAAAAACCCCAAAACAAACAAAACACCTTATTTTTATAGAAAGAAGAGTTTTTGTTGAAATAAATGACAGAAATATATTTGTTAAAAATAGACAAAGACAAATAACATTCTAGGCTTATATCAATGCTAGCTAAACCTTGACAAATCAAGATTAACTTTCTGAATTTTCCAATTTTTCCACAAATGCAACCATAGCTTGTTTTTTTTTGGTCAGTTATAATGGATTGGGTTCTGGTGATAGATGGACCCTTTAAAGGCACTCAGACACAGGACAGACACAGGGACAGAGACAAGGACAGGAGAACGGAGACAGGAGACAGGAGACAGGAGACAGGACAGGTGCAGATGGTGTGGAGATACCTACAGCGGGAGCGGATGTAGCACTGGTGACAGTTCAACAGGCCGTTCCGGATCCGCACATCTGTCCCGGTTGTGGTGTCTCCCAGCTGGCCCTTACACACCCCACACTGAGGAGCCAAAGAGATACGGTCAGATTTGCACGGTTTAACAAATTGCACATTCAAAATGATCGGAAAATAAAAGAAATCCATAATCTAACTGTGTCCCCAGATATGAAGTAGACATGTTCAAATCAAACAAAGCTTTTACTGAGAACAACTGTAATGCTGATTTAAAACACTGGATGGCCAAGTTGTTTATGTTATAATTTGATGCTTTAGATCTCAAGAGGGGGATCCAATCAGAAAGCAGATTGAGCCTCACATGCGTCTCTCGTTTGGGTTGCCAGTTTTAATGCTCAAATCCAGTTGGTTTAAACCTAAAATGCCTCTCTCTGATCTGACTGGTCACTACCTAAAGCCCAGCACCTGCAACCAAACATGAAGAAGTGCTAGTGCAGCCTGTGCAGCCGCAGTACATGCTCTCCATATACTGAGGGTGAGGAAAACTTGTATGTGTCCTCTATGTGCAGGTTAAGGCACTGGCAAGGTTCAGTTGTAATTGTAGTGCCTTTTAAAAAAAAACTGTTAAAGCTCGGCTGGATTTCATTTTAGGAAGTTTTGTGTAGATACTGAATTATTCTTAATGAAATGCATGTTTATGGAATTGACTAACACACCTCCTGCATCTGTTACTGTGTCACTGTTTACTAGGTATGTAACAATAACGAAAATACTGTACCGTCAATAGTCTCACAGTAATATCATGGCCATCACAATGTATCGAATTACAAGTTTCTTTGCTTAACTTCTTTGTTATGGTGCAGCAACATCTTAAAAACCGACAGAACTACATAGACCATGATCCTTTGCTCTGTTTTAGTCCAATCTACATGACAAAACAACTGTTATTAATCTCTTTTAAATCTTAATTATTTGGATTATGACAGAAAAGGAGCATATTGACAGGTTTGTTAACTTCAGCAAAATATTGTGAACATATCGTATCGAGAGATTTGGATATTGTCACATCCCTACTGTTTACAATTTATTTAACTTTCTTTACAAAAAAGCTAGGTACAAATCCTCACCTGAAGTACTTTATGGTGTTATACTTTGCTTGCCTACCTTAAAGCATTGAATATGGAAGTAGAGGCTGAGTGTCTCTATGATCATGGCGGCTCCTTTCCCCAGAGGCTGTCCACAGCTCGAGCACAGCTTCTTCCCACTCACAGACCTGCAGGGCCACAACAATGAAGACAAAGGATGAGAACACAGTTAACTTTAACAGTCAAAGTTAGTATTGTTATTGCAATGTGAGGGTAAAAGAAAGTTTATGCCATATTCTTTGCTGCATATATGCACTATGTAACTTTTGGGGAGGGTCCGTCACCTGCTCATCCCATGTTTGGCTGAAATGTTCCACAGTATGATATTAAACTCATTTAGCTTTCTTTCAGTCAGTTACATGTGTTTTTATTGCCGGAGCATTTTAATAACAACTAGGGGTGTAATGGTACATGTATTTGCGCCGAACTGTTTCAGTACGGGACGTTCGGTTTGGTGCAGGGCTGTGCATGAGTGACTTTGTGCAATTTGTGTGTGTTTACATTCCGTCAGTACATGTGCAGCTACATGGAAGGCTCAGCTTTTTAATATTTATGAGGGAACTCGTCCATGGGATGGCAGTGTTTCCCACAGTGCTTTATAGTTAGGGTGCCGCCAATTACGCCCCGCCTTGACTATGTCCCTCCAAACCACGTCAATCCAAGTGAAGTTGTAGCGAAAGGGAATTTTCATCTACTGGGGATGTTGTAACTTCCAGCAGATCTACACTTACTGCAGACAATGTGGACAAGTTGTTTTTTCTGGCTACAAATATGAAGATTAAGTAAAAATTCATGCTGAAACTGTTAGTGCTGCACTTTATCTTTTGAAAAGTTTTGTTTACTGTTTACAAGGAATTTATTTTTTATAATATTTCACACATTTGTTGCTTATTTGAGAATATTTTATTTAACTTATTAATGTTACCAAGAAGCACTTTAAATTTATTTAATTTTTCAGTTTGTATAATGTCAAAACAAATTGTTGGTTTATTAAACACACAAATAAACAACAAGCAAATGTTTTGCATTTGTTGATACTGTATCAAAAATGAACTGAACCATAACCTCAAAATAGAGGTACGAACCAAACTGTGATTTTTGTGTAGTGTTACAGCCCAAATACAGACCCTGTTTAGGAGATTGATTTACAAAATGTGTTATGTGTGAGTAACTGTAAAACTAATGCTAGCGAGCTTGTGTATAATTTTATGTATGAGACTTGTTTAGCAGCACAAATCAGCTCTAGTTCTTTATGCTCAGATTTGTTCAAATAAAGCACAGATTAAAGACAGAGCAGAGCCTACATTTAGCGTCACACTCACAGGGAATTTTGATAACATCAGTTGCAAAGTATCAGTAGTAATAAAAAACATTTATGCACCAAATCCCAGAAATGATAAGGTTTCTTCTATGAAATGACCACATGCAACTGTAATAATGCCCTCAACCTTACACCTTTACATTACAATACATCGTCCCTCATGCCGACACTGTAAAAACAAAAACACTGCAGTAACTTTCTAACACTCTGCACTTATTGAAGTCTGTGGATTTGTTTTGCCTGGGATGATTTCATTGCTTACTTATTCTAGTCAGGTTTCTTCTGCAGCGCTGTGAGATGATATGAGATAGGGAGGGGAGAGGGGGAGAGAAGCAGAAAATGACACTGCGTAACCCCCCCACCGCACACCCATCACCCTCCACCACCCTTGGGTGCCTGGGTGGGGGTCTTGTTTGTGATGCGGTACCTGTTTGGGACTGGAGGCGCACTGTCTGATGGGGGGTGGGGTGGTGATGGTGAAGCGGGGGGCTTTGATGAGCTCCTGTTGTTATTATCGAGAGGACCACTCCTGAAAATGGACAGCAACATGCAACAACACAATGAGGACACGGAAACAGCGATCTGATTGGCCGGAAAGTAGCCAATGGGAGCCCCAGAGACAGCGTTGTATGTATGTATAGTGTATGGGGTAATGTTTGGGAAATGCGGTTTTAGTTCGTTTAAAGTGTGGTTTATGTGTTGCTACAGCAAATGTGATTCAGAATGTGATCCATGTGTTAAATGCTTGGGTCCTGTCACTGAATACTAGTGGGTGCCCATTAACACTGGCAACACACGCCCTCTGCTGGTCAAAAAGTGGAACTAAGTAGTGTTATAATTCCACTTTTCTGTAGGGTGACCACCTCAAATTGAACAAAAAGAGGGACAACTTGTTAAATCTGGTTGGACATGGACAGACAGACTTGGTGACTTTAAGTTCATAGATAATTGCAAAAACACTATATGATCTTTATCAATAGTAACTCACAGACAGAAATTGAAATAGCAATAGGTGCAAACTTATAACCCTAAAAGCCAGTACACCTAAAAAGTATTGTTTTCATAATGACAAAAAAAAGTAACATGTGGCATCATTGAAAAAAGGGGTTACCTTACTCATCTACAGTGTTTTTGCATAACACTGGCTGCGGTTACATCCACACTCAAAATAAAATTCAAATCAGATTTTTGGAGTTATAAAGCAGAGGAGTACTGACAATCTATATGTTCTGGAAAAGTTCAGAAGGGCTGTCCGACCATGAGGCCGATTGGGGCCACTGAATGCCCCGTCCTTACTGTTTTCCGTGGGCCGATTTGTCGAGGAAAGTCCAAGGCCGTCCATGTCCGCCCCTGGTTTTAAGACTATTTTTAAAAAAAAGATTTCGTTCTGATCATGGTCCCTCTGATCACCTTTCACATAATTTAAATAATCTTAAACATCCAGAAATGATTACAATCAGATTTTGGCGTCCATGCGAATAAGGCCATTGTGTGTTTTTTTTTTTTTTTAATAAACATTATGGATGGATGGGGATGGTTGATTCATGAAAACTGACAAACAAAAGACTATACAAATGAGGTTGCACATTAGAGCAATTGAAACCCACCCACTCTGAGTTACACATCTTTGAATTTGAAAGGATTTATTTGACCATTTTAGTACTAACTGCCCCTTTATTCAGCCACAGTACACTTAATATAAGATCCAACTTTGCGGTGTTCCCTCATTAGTAACTTAGTCAGAGTTGTATTTCAGTTGATTCATGCATGTTCGTGTAATCCTGTTTCGTCCTGCATTTGAGGCTTGAGTGCTCTAAAGATCTTTTAATAATTTTAACACTAAATACCTGAAAAAAGCATAATATGTCTTCTTTAAGTCTCCCAAAACGACTTGTGGCTTCAGTGTGGAATGCCAATATGAAAAAAGTATGGAGGCGATTTAGGCTGTTGGATGCAGTTTCCAAAGAGGGGGTATAAGGCTTGCAAAACCATTTCAAGATTAAAAAAATAAAATAATAACAATACTAAATAAATGAAGCTATTATAAAGACTGTATTGTATTCAAATACATTTGACTAAAAAAGAAATAAAATGTTTAAGTGATTGAAAGTTATTTCATCAATTATATTTTACAGCAGGGAGTTGTTGGTTATACCTGTGTACTTTTAACATTTTGAAAAGCCCTGGTATAGGCCTGTCACACAATAATTATTGAATATTGATTTATCGATCAATATATGAAAGCTGGAACAACATATTTTGGGGTTCCATACTTATTGTGTGTACATTTTCTTTGCAATAATGATGAGACTTTTATTTTATTTTAGTTGTAATATGAAAAGATTTGAGTTGTAGATGGCTGAATAAGTAACTCTTATGCCCGATTACTGTTTCATTCTGCTATCTGTCTATAAAAAAAAAAAAAAAAAGGATTATTCTGCTTTATTATTATTGTTTCAGTGGCATAAACTAGTTTTAGTGTTACTGTTTACCGTTATATTTCTCTGTAGTGATGTAGTGCTTCGCAATTTGTTATCGTGATAGTGGTTTATTCTTCAGTGTTGTTCTGAAGTTCACTCACCTCCTGCTCTGTCTGCTGCTCTCCGATGGGGCCTCTTGCGCTTTACTGACCGGAGAGGACACTTTGGTTTGCACCGACGAAGACTTCTGACCATTCTGCAAACTGTGAGCATGTGCATCGGCTTGGCTCGTACTGTGACTGAATGAACTGATGACAAAAACAAAACAAAAAATAAAACATTTGGTCTATAAAGTTACGAAATAATACAGAATATATACTAAGACTGACGGACCTTCTTGCAGTTTTCATGCTGTCGTCTGCAGTACTGATGTCACTGGTGCGGTCATTTTCTCTGCGTTTGTGTTCTTCGGGATTCCCTTTCTGTAAAAGCACAATTTTGTGAACCACCCCTACCATTAAAGGGAACTATCAAAATACATGTTATGACCTGGTTTACGGTTAATATCTCAATAACTACTGGGTCAGCATGGAAAAAAAATGGCGTAATGTTCAATGCCTTTTGTCAATGTCTGTGCAACTTTGCTCATAACGGTTTTGCCACCTGTTCATTGAGATGTTATTGCTTTGTGTAGAATATTTCACAGTATGGCATTATCTATCTATACATCTCAATCTTTTTTTTAATATATACTTTTTATCACAAACTTCTTCTCTCTTCTTTTTTAATGTTAATTTTATGATGATTATTTATGGTTTGATTTGTTCCTATTGTGATTTTAATGTCTTTCTTATTTTGTAAAGCACTTTGAATTACTTTATGTGCGAATTGTGCCTTGCCTGGAAAAAAAAAACAGACAATGCCACTAGGAAAAGTTATATGCCTGATCTGCGGAGAGGAAACCCTGTTCACATTAAGAATATTTGTTTTTCAAGGTACTTTTGAGGAGTATAAATACGTGACTGACTGCTAGATAGATAAGTTTAATGCCAAATTGTGGCATTGCTTTTGTCCATGGAGACAAATCGATGGCAGATTCTTGACCAAAAAAGTTACATAATGCACCTTTAAAAAGCAGTGGTATTATTCAAAACAGGTGTTATTGTTGTCAGTAACATAGCAAATTTGTGAATCCATATACTACAAAAATGTAATAAGTTCAGCATTTGTGAAATATGGTTACAGCTTTTAAAAATATTGAACTGCCCATAGAGAAGCACAGGTCACCCAGTGTCATTAACACAAACTATTAATACCTTACTGATATGCGTAAACTCTTATCTCGTTTCTTTTCATCACTGCTATTTCTTCCTCAGGCCCTATGTCTCTACCTGTCTCTCCAGTGCCTCCTGTTTGCGTTCCCAGTCGGCCAGCGAGCGGACGATGGTGTCCTGCGGGGCGGAGCTAGTGGACATGTCCCCTCTACTGGGGGACGGCTGGACAGAGGACAAAGGGGTCAGAGGGGCCACGGTCTCCTCCAGGATCTTCTGCTCCTAGTGGGTTACAAAGATACAGCCCTTTAACCTAAGCAGGGTGCAAGCCATTTGACTGCTTTTCAGTGTTTTTCTAATTATGACTTGGTTTGGTGGGAGAGATAAAGGGTAAATATTTATTGTAGTTTTACATCAGTTAAGTGAAAAGTAAAAGTAAAAATTTGAAAAGAAAAGTACAAAAATACAGGAAGTAGCACTGAGTTCTCAAGCAGAATACCTCTGTCATCAACATGGAAAATTCCTGCCAAACAATGTCATTAATTTTTATTGTCATTCATTTTTATTAGTCTAAATATAAACTATGTATAGTTTAATTTAGACAGGCTTTGACCCATGTTTACATTATGGTTGCTATAATAAACAAATAAACCAATCAGTAAGTAAAAACTAGGCAAGATCTTTAGTGAAAATTACCATTATTGAATTGCTTACAAATTCAGAAGAAATATCCAATATACAAAAATACTAAGAATCATCCTAATGTTCAATGTTGTAATCAGGGTCTGTGGATTGATGGACATGAGGTTGGCTATTTAGCTATAATCTCAAGCTCATAATAAGAACACTCACCCCAACTAAACCTTTTACATTAGTGAAAAGGTCCATTCTAAAACCGCATTTATCCAACCACTATGGATCAGGATACAAGAGAGTCATTTTATACCTCCATAGGGTAGGACTGGGTAATTAATCAAATTTTAATTGTGACTGAAATTCACTTACGTCTAACCATCAATGCTCAGCTTGGGTCTTTTTAATGGAGAGGTCTAAAATAGTTCGAAGCGGTTTGGACTATTTTCTATTAAATGGCAATGATTAAAAGTCTTGATTCTGTTCATACATTGATAATGAAAGCTATATTTAGTTTGGTTTTGAAATGAAAAAAATCATAAATTGAGACACATAATTATGAGTAAAGTCCTGATTCTTATTTTTGGTCATTTTGTGCAGTCCTAGCAAATAGCATTACATTTTTCAAAGACTCGATTCAGAAACATGGTGAGTATTAAATCTAAAATGTTCTTACTGGAAAACAAACTGAAAATATTGAACTATACATTTTTGGCTATGTCACTTGCTGCTAATGTACATGTTGGCACAAGGGCCCGATACCACAACATTAATAAACTAGACCAATGGAACTGTGCCATACAAGTTTGCCCCACCTCCTCGTGGTACTTGCGCTCCTCCTCGGCCACCTCCCTCTGGGCTCGCTCCCACTCCTGCTTCAGCTTCTCCTGCTCCAGACGGTACTTCTCCTGTCGCCATGGCAACAGACACACAACAAGCTACATCAAGTATCAACTATACAAATATTAGACAAGGACTATACCATCTTATCACAATTGTTATTACTTTTTTCTATGGATTCTTTTTAGATTAACATTTAGTTTAGATTTCATTATTACACCAGTTTGCAAGAAAGCAAAGCATCAAACCAGGCATTAACTCAGAGTTGAACATGTAAACAAAAGCTTGTGAATTTCTAGACAAGACCATTATAAATATAGCACCAATGGGACATTTAGTTGCAGTTGTACTAAAGTGGGTCAAGTGTAGAGGCACAAGAACTCAAAGCAAGCAAAAAAGAACTAGCTAGAGACATAAGAGGACAAAGGAAAGAACAGAACAAATCTGAGGAGTGCAGAGAGCATGCACACAAGCACAGACGCACATTTATTTAATGCATTTCAAGTCATCATCCCAGAATACTTCACAACACTGTTGTATAAAAAGTGGGAGTGGACTTGAAATGCACGTGGGCGAGCCTGAGGAGAGACAGGGGGTGTGGGCAGCAGCAGCAGCCTCTGTGGGCACTACAGTCTCATCTGCTGCACAACAGCACCCTCTAGTGGCCACAGAATGTACACATCCCATCTGCAAAAGCAAAGCTCAGTCTTGCAAAAAAGTCTTAATCAAAGTCTTAATCAATTGGACATTAAGCTAAGCATGACACACTGATAAGTGTCCTCTGTACACGCAGAAGTAAACAAGTCAGGGTAGGGATTAACTTCATCACACAGAGTATGTTTACACTAATGTAGAAATCTAAACATCCTGTGCATCCCATAGTTTAAAAAGCTTAAATCATTTTGCTGTGTTCTTGCAGTCATGCTCCATGCTATCCCTCAGTAAGACTGTGTACCTGCAATATGTACCTCAGTATAACTGAGTGTGTACCTGCAGTATACTCTCAGTAGGACTGTGTACCTGCAGTATACTCTCAGTATGACTGTGTACCTGCAGCATGCGCTCTTGCTCTTGCTGCCACCTCTCCTGACGCTGTCGCTCCTCCTCTTGGTCCCAGGACCAGCGGTCGCTCCGCCTGGCCTGGGACGAGCCCGCTGACACCTATGGGACCACACGTACATCAACAACACACATATCATGCCACACCCACACCCATGCACACAGCACAGACAGAGAAGAGGAGGGAAGAGGAGACAGTCGATCTACCACAACAGCACTACTCCAATGCTAGCCAAAGGGCACTACTAAAGAGAAGACAGAGAGACAAAGTTGTTTACAGCACCCTCTGCTGGCATGCCAGCTACACCAACAGCTACTGTGCAAATTATTCAGGAAAACAGCAGAGCAATGCGGTGCAAATGCAAGAATTGCAACTTATTCTCAAATTATGTTTATTGATATGTTATGTAAATGTACCGGTAGACATTTAGCTTATTATTATTTTTTAAATGATCCATATAAAACATAAGCTTCAGTATCAATATGGAATGAAAAGACTTTTTAAAAAATCTACTTTTTACTGAGACAGAAAGCCAAGCCCTGCAGCTTTTGTAGAAGAGGAACAAAAATGTCCTCTGAGAAATGCTCAAATTAAAAGACAAATTTACTTACATTGCCACGAAGATCCTTCTCTGGTTCTTCTGTGGAGAAGAAGAAAATATATATAACACAATTATATTATTGTAAAAAAGCAAACATATACCTATATATTATTGTTTTGAAAATTAAATGCAGCCAGAGATCAAAGAAAATTACAAGAGCTTAAACACTATCTAAAATGTTTTCAATGAAGCAACAGAGCATGAAATTCATTATAGAAATATGGATTTAAGCTCAGAGCTGGAGATGCTTGTTTTTCAAGCATGCATGCAGAGTTTTCTATGCAGTTCTTTATTGCAGTATAGTATACTATGTAGATAATTCTTCAACACTCTGTATAATACTTTGTTTTGACCTATTTTACAGATCCTATTTACAGATGAATAGCTTTACCTGACTGAGCGAAGAACTCCCAGCGTAACTTTGGGTTGCTAGTGGACAGTGCAGGTCTGACACTGTGTGTAAGGTCTAAGTAAAGATGTGTGAGTGGGAATGAGGGAGGGCAGAGGTTTGGAGGGATAAGGGGCCAATGCAATGGGGAAACAATCATATTAGTCTAATTAGTTTAGTGAGGAGAAAATGGCTGAAAAATGTAAATGTTTTAAATAATATAGCCAGGATTTTGTCTTTTTTTAGAATGAGGAATAGAATAGAATTTCTCAATTACACAATTAAATCAATAGAGAATATCATGTGTAAATAATTCTACTGTAACTTGAATATTTGAATCACTATACTAGATTTCAAATGAAATAGTAATTGAAATATTACTTATTCATTTGTCAAGGATATTAGAAAGCCACTATTTGAGCAAAATGCAAATCCATGTTAAACTAATTGCAGAGAATAAGAGGTGCCAGCTCAGGGTTCCCAAACAAAGCCAGAGAAGAGAAACAAGCATTCCTTCTTATACTGCAGACATGTACCTGTGGCATGATCTGTGGAGGCCTGACCTCCAAATGACCCCGGAGCAGACACACTAGTAGGTACACTCTCTCTCTTCCACTCCTGAGATATGGACACACTAGTCTGCAAAAGAAAGGTACAGAATGGGAAGTAGAATATTATTATTGCTACTGTACTACTATTACTTCTTCAAACAATTGCTACTTTAAGTCACAGAGTTAGTCAAACTTGTGATGATGGAAGAATCTAAAAGACACTACAGTTATCCATCTGATAATGACTTGGAAATTTGCCTTACAAAACCCACAATTAAGAAACTGTATGTGATGTCAAAAGCTTTTGTGTTATAAAGAACATGCTTTACATCTGAGGATGTGTGCTGATTCCACAACAATGCAATTGTATTAAAAACCCAAAATGTTATATTTAAAATAAAATATATTTAATATTCAATTAAGTAATTTGAAGCTGCTTATTTATTTTATTTATTATGTTATTTGTCTGACCTCTGACTGGAGTTTGGGTTGACTGGATGACTCCACTACCTCCTGTTCTGTTTTGGCAACTGGATGAAAAAAAACAAAAACATCTCTGTTCATAAAGTGCAATGACAGTCCATAAACATGCGCACATACATAAGAAAAACATCACCAACCTGAGAGAGAAGTTGGTTGAGCTGCATTTAACCATTTATCTGAGCTATCTTCTGGCTTCTGCAATTCCTGTAATCACAAAAAAATGTTAAAGAAGAATTATGTTTCTTTACCAAGTATTTCGGATGAAATATAACATACGTAGATCATCATTGCACCTTCTGTTCACGATAAACTGCAATACTAATCTAAAAAGTCTTAATATTAGGAACAGACTTTTGACTTCCTTCAAATCTCCAGGACCAAGAAGCCCTGTGCCCACATGTATGACCTAGAGTCTAAAGTTTTGATTAATCAGTACAGAAAAGTGACCAAAGATATAGGGTAGGTGAAAACAGACATTTTCTGAGAACTCAAGCCTCAAACTCAGGACAATGCAGGATTACAAAAAATGCATTAATCAATCAAAAAACATAAGTAAGATAATGGGAGGGAACATCTTATTAGCCTCAGTAAACAACCACAACATCCTTCACATTAAAGTTTAGGAGTAATACCCAGCCTAATCCTTACAGTTGGCAGCGAGTTAGGACGAGTTAGCTGCGTCGCGTCCTCATTGGCTTCTTTTTGTTGGACATCTTCAGGTTTGTGGTTTGGCATCTCCTGGTCATTGTTTGGCACTGGGCTGGCTGTCTCCGGTGATATGGGCGTGAGCGGGGGGAGGGGGAGAAACACGGGGGCGGGGGAGCCGCTGGGGGTGTAGGGGGAGGTGGGGGTGCAAGCCTGGAACACCGGAGAGTCAAATCCCAGGCTACTGTCTGGAGTGGAGGGCACACCGTCACTGCCCGCGTCCCCGTTCACTCGCAGCAGACTGTCCACCTGAAAGAGAGAGGACTATACATGAGTTTCAGCTTTCTGTTATATGCAACATTTTCAGGACCCTCTCCCAATCAAAAGAAATAATATTTAGTTTTTAATTGTTTATCACTATAGCTTTCTGTGTAGAGTTTGCATGTTTTCCCCATGTCTGGGTGGGTTTCCTGCGGGCAGTCCGGTTTTCCCCATCAAACCTAAAAAACATGCACCAGGGACGACAGCTGGAAATAATCTCTCGTGTTACAACCTAGCACAATGCATCTCTTCTGATAAGGTTAATGTATATTGTGCACTGTCCCTAGGGCTGGGTATCATTGAGAAGTTACCGATACGATATATGCCTCAGTACATAAGCCCTGATACGATACATATCTTGCACTTTAGATTCGATATGACAAGGCTCAATCACTAAAAGTCTTTGTTAAACAACTTTCTTGTGCAAAGTTAATATGAAGCACGCCCATTTTAATAATCAAAACAGTTAATATGTCAAATGTGTTGCATAAACAAGATTTTTCCTCTGAACAAGCAACAAAACTGTAGCACTGTAGCAACAAAATCAGTTGTAAAATATACCAAACAATACTCTTGGCGATATATCAATACAGCAGCCCACGATACCGATACTGTATCATCACATTAAAAGATTCTATATATTGATATTTCAATATTTTTGCACACCTCTAACTGTTCCTGTCTCATAAATAGACTAAAATAATAATAATAATAATAACAGCAACAGTCTTAATTTTCTCATCATTCTAAAACTACTTGATACTTAGATATGAATGATGTGGCCTTTTAACTTACACTTTTTAACTTTTTTTTAACTTACTTTACACTCACAACACTTTGTACAACACAGCCATTCACCTATTCACAACCTCACACAACCAGAGTACAATGGATTAAGTGTCTTGCTCAAGGACACATAATCAGTAGGTACCGGTGGAAGAGGGGATAGAACTGCCAACCTTCAATTTACTGGGCGAAACTGACCACTGTGACCATATAAAAGAACTGATTATCTTGGTGTGTGAACATTTCTTTTCTCATACCAAATAATTAAAGATGCACTACGTAACATCTATGTTGGCAGGTCCACCATATTGTTGTTATTGCTTTATTATTACTATATTCATGTTATTGTTTTGCCAGGAATGTTCCACTGCATAGAATTCAACTTTTCTATCTCCATGGAGATGACTGGTGACACCTTCAGGCAAAGTTAAAAGTAAAATTTTAATACTTTTTTGCTTTTTGTAATAATAATAATGTTTTTTCAACTTTACTTGAATGAATGCAGGACAAATATGTTTAAGTCATGCTGTGGAACATTCTAGGCAGATCAATAACATCACCATGGAGACAAGCAGGTTGCAGACTCTCCACCAGAAAACTCTTTAAGTAAAAATAATGTAACAAGAAACAGGTGATGAATCCATGGGCACTTATGGCTTCTGTAATGAAAGCAATTGAGTAAAAAAAGTGATAAAAACTCAATTAATAGAAAAATAACATGCATAAAAACACACAGAAAACTCTTTGAACCATGCTAATCAGATTCCTAAATGCACCCGATTAACAAGCTAATTAGAAACCGCGTCAATAATCCCAGAGCGCTCATTTGTGGTCATTACTCTCCACTTCTATCTGTCCATTATACCCCATTCACTTAGGGCCTACACTATACCGGCCAGTGCTTACAAAGAGCCCCAAACCTATACGCTAGCAGCCTTTAGCGGGCGGTAACTTAAGACACTCCAGTCTGCCACTCCTCTGCTCTCCCCTGCAGTCTGTGTGGGCCGTCTTTGTGCGGCCGTAGCCCACTTCTCATTGAGAGCGGCCTACTTGTCAACTTCTTAAGTCAATAGGGAACAGAGGGCTCCATTGAGAAGGCCCGGGCTCCTCTCGGGCTCCTTACAAGGCATTCCAAAAGAGCTCTGCTTCACTTGCTCTGCTATTCTGGGCTGTAGGAAAAGCTCAAGTTTGTCGCTGATACATGTTATAGTCCTAGTTGGGGTATTAGTTTGGTTTGGTTATAGCATCCAACTTAGATCTGATTTGGAGTTGATTTTGTCTGCCATTTTCTGACAAGGTTGGTTATAGTGTTTTTGTTTTGGCTTACTCGATTCAGTCCGTGTTTTCCGGACTTCTGGGGAGTGCCTGATCTAGTTTAGGTCTAGTTCAGGTTTTATTCTGAGTTTAGTCTCAGTTTAGACCCAGTTTAGATGTGGGATATGCGAATGCACCCTTTAGACTCGGAATATGATTTGGAAGGCTCTACATTTTTAGTCAGGCTGGAGCCAAGTAGTGCCTCTGCTCAATTTCATTTCTCTCCAGCAACCAGGTCAGGAATTGGAGTACACTAGACAGTTTGCAAGAACCCCAGAAGATGTAGGCTGTGCGCTGGCCAATCAGCGAAGAGCTGTGAAGCCATGATGTCAAACTCAAGCGCCTGTCTGTGTCCCTTATATTGTATAGCACAACAGTAAACAAAGCGGTCGAGCTGGATGTAGATGAAGCCATACATTCTGTGTTGGCAACGATTCCCGAAATTGAGGATTGAAAGCCGGAACAAAGAGAATGTTTGGTGAATTGTATCAAGGGGAAAGTCATTATTGCCCTTCTTCCTGCAGGATTTGGGAAAAGCTTAATATACCAGTTAGCCCCGTTAGTGGCGCATTACACACGTCACAACCAAATATCAGCGATTGGTTAAATAAAAAAGTACCCGCCTACAGTCGAGCAAACAAATATTAATGCTGCAAGGTGAGACAGTTTCCATGTAGTGATACTGCCTGATCAATCAGGCTACTACATTTTAGCAGGCTTCAGAAAATGAATTTGACTTTGTGGCTGTGCTTTTTTGACCTTGTCCTTATGGTTTTGCTCCTTTTTAATGGATGTGTGTGCTTAATGACCACTTATTGTTTGCACAGATTGTATTTTGTTGCATTGACACACCTCTACAAGCAAGATCTCTCATCGATAACACTTCCTTGAATTATATATGACATCATTGTTTTATTTGTATAAAGTGAAATCTGTGTGGCATGTGTTTTGTCCATTTTAGTTTCCTTCCTGTGAAAATAAACATACCATTTGAACTTCTGTTCCATGTTACTTTAGGTCCAGTTAAGTCTTGTCGTTAGTTTAGTCCTGGTTTAATTTGAGTTCACATTTCATATTGGCTAAAAGTTAATGAGAATTTTAGGACTAAATGAGGTTTAGTTCTCATTTAGTAGTAGTTTTATCAAATGTATTGGCTTAGTCCACATGTCTTTGTCCCTGATTTCATCCTAGTGTAGTTCTTTTAGCCCTGCATCTGTTCTTACATCCCACCCACTCCATGCCAAAACATACAATCACGTCAACCATTTTCCCATTTGTCTAAATTTCCACTGAAGACAGGGCCTTTGGAGAGCACTCAGGGTTAAATTAAACAGTGGTTAAGAGGAAGTCTTATGTCCGGAGTGTAAAGAATCCTACTCATCACCATGGTGTAGAGCAGCATTTGAATGTAAATGCCAGTGAGGAGAGAAGATTTACCCATGAGGTCTGTGAGGGCAGAGAGAGGAGGGAGAGAGTGAGGAAGGAGAGAGTGAGGGAGAGAGAAGGGAGAGAGAAGGGAGAGAGAAGGAAGAGAGTGAGGGAGAGAGTGAGGAAGGCTGCCACAGGGTAGTCCATATGCAAAGTGGACAATGCATCATCATGCCCATGCATCTAGGTTTGATCTACACGTAATAAACACTTGCTAGGGTGTAAGGGCTTTACAATGCATTGTCTTTACATGCATCATAATAGTTTGGCACAGAGGCTGAGTGACTAGCCTCATAGCAAGAAGGTCCCGGGTACTCCTCCTTTGTGTAGTATGTGTGTGATTTCTACCGGGGACTCTGGTTTCCCTCATCAACCATGAACAAGCAAAGCCTAGCTCAAAATCAGGAGATGGGTCCCCGGGCATACCACAGGCATGAGGTCAATTCTAAATTAAGTTCCAGGAAGGTTCCTACAGTGTAAAAAGAGCCTGGCAGTAACAATAGCTGTAATATGACTTTTCTGAAGATGGCTTGGCTGTTAGCAGCCAAAACATGTCAAGGTAAATACATCTCACTAACAAAGTCTGCCTATAAGAAATAAAGATATATCTAATGTGAAGAATGTCTTAAGTCAGTGATTCACGATTTTTAGGACTTGAGACTTGACTTGACAAAATGGACTAAGACTTGGGACTCGACTTGGACTTGAAGCTCAATGGCTTGGGACTTGGACTTGAGCCCTGTGAACTGAGAAGATTTGATGCTTCTACTAAAAAATATATATGCTTTTAGAAAATAGTTGATTCATGTGGTGCTTAATTTTACAGGAACAAACTGGAACATATCCCTCACAGTTCTGTTTTTTACTTTGGATCTAACTGAAGTACTGTGATATGGTATCATTAAATGTACTACAGTACTACAGTAATCTACAGTGCAATATAGTAAAACAGAGGGAACTACATAAAACACGATTCTTCCATTTCAGTGCAGACTACATGGCAAAATAACTTATTAAGCACTTTTAAATCTGAATTAATAATTCAGTAATGATTTACACTAAGATCTTGACAAGACTGTTAAAAAGGAAAAAAAACAGCATTTCTATAACTCATATATAAATAGTCATAAAAATATACCATGACCAAGTATAATTTCATTTAAAATTCATATAAATTGCAAACATTTAAGCTATATTTGGTGCTTTGGTTTAAAGACTTGAAATGACTTGAAGTTCAAAGCAAACGACTTGGACTTGACTTGGACTTATGGGCCAGTGACTCGAGACTTGACTTGGACTTGCCTGTATTTGACTTCAGACTTGACTGGGACTTGAGGTAAAGACTTGAGACTTACTTGAGACTTGCAAAACAATGACTTGGTCCCACCTCTGCTACACACTGTACACTATATGTAAATATTTGGGACAGACATTTTTTTTTCTTCTCACTTCACACTGCGACAACTCTACTAACATGAAAACAATATTCTTCTCAGCTTGAGCTCTGTTCTGGACATTGGATAATAGCCTACTACTTGCACTATTACTGAAAGTGCAGAGATTCTGTAGCGCCAGTGAAATGTTTGTACACTGCGGTGTGAGATCCTGTGTTGTCACCATCAGATGTTTTATTTATTCATTAATGTGTAGAGTCATGAATCTGAGCAATCAGATCATTCAAGCTCTAGTGTGTCCTGTGAGGACCTCTCTCAGATTCACCTCTAAGCTGTGGAGACACTGGCGGTCTTGTCTGTATACATCATAACATGCACTGTATATTTACATTTTTTTATACTATGAACCAGATATTATGTGTTCTTAATAAAGATTGAATAGAATTTGACACCAGTGACACTGAAGAATGGGTGAAATGCAGAACACATTTCCTCAAAATACAACCTTAAACAGAAATAAGAAATCCTCTCACCTTGCCGCTGCATGGGTCAGTGGAGCTCCGCGACTGGAAGTAAGGCTTGGGCGTCAGCAAAGGCACAGGTTTGGGGGACAGTGCTCTGGACAAGGGGGGCTCCGAGGACCGCGACCTGATCTGAGGCGTGTGGGACCAATCTTTGGGATACTCCTCCACCCGGGTCTCCAGTGTGGACGTGAACTTGGGCGTGGGGGCGGACTGTTGGCGCAGGTACCGCAGGGGGCCGTTGGGGTCTGTGTCGGGTGGCTCTGGAGAGGTGGGGGACAGGGAGATGGACAGGGGATAGGGGCAGGTGGGGTCGGCTGATACGCTGCGGTCTAAAAGTTTGGGCAGCTGTAGGCGTTCCAATATGGTCTCACTGATGGAGAAGCGTTGAGCGTATCTCTGTAGGATAGCTGAGGCCTCCTCCTGGGTCCGGGCGTTCTTGTAAGCGATACGTAATTCTTCCTCTCGGCGCTCTCTGGGAAATTCAAATAGAGAATTCACTTATGGAGTTACAATCTTTTTGCAATCACTTTTGGCTGTATATTTGAAAATATCTGTACTGCAAAGACAAACTTTTTTTTTTTTTTTTTAGTTTGACAGTGTGATGTTTCCTTTTAATGCCAAGAACTTTAAATTAGTACAACTATTGCAGATTAAATAATAAATGTGGTATCAGCAGTGACATCATTTTGAACATTTGGCCCTCACTTGTCCTGGACGATCTCCCTGTAGGTCTTGATGCTGCGGCGCCTGTGAGAGATGACCTGGTCTCCGGTCAAAAGATGCTCCATCATCTTCCTCTCCTCCTCTTTCTTGATCAAGTCCTGAGAGATGCTCCTCCTGCGGTTCTTCCATCGTGCAAGGTCCTAACAAGGTAACAACCCCCAGACCATTTCAAAGGTGGCTTTGGGGACATTGTATACATATAATACTGTAATATAAACACTGTTGGTATATCCTTCAAATAATGTATGTGCATAGTATTTTATTTTAATTTCAATATGACACTAACAGCTGCTTCATGCTGAAAGCTATTTAACAAGCAAGAAAAAAACAACAACACAGTAGCACTGGTGTTAACTGCTAACGTAGGGATAATATAGTCCATGAGAAATTACCTCAGCAAACAGGTCTCTAAACCATTTCTTACAGTGTTTAAACAAGAGTGGATTTAAACTTAATCTATGATAAGAAATCTTCAAATTGAAAGCAGAACTGCATAAGATTTTTGAAAATAGAAATCAATTTTGAAATAAAATCTATTTTCTTTATTAGGAGCACACATTTAGTAGAATCCTCGACAAGTAAAGCTGTACAACTTGCAGCACTGCTGTTACAGCAGCATTTTTTCATTCATACAGCACTGCTGTATGAATGAAAAATATGATATAAACAAATGCCATGTATTCAGGTATGTGTTTTGTAATGCACAGCAGTTTAGCAGTTCCCCATTTACATTGATGTTAAAAAGCCATTACTCACGTCCTGCCAGTGGCTCTCGTCCTCCTTGATGCGGTTGTACTGGTTGTGCATGAGCTCATGGCGGGCCTGGCTGTGAGGGTCCTCTCCATCCCGCATGTCAATCATACTCAAGCTCCTGTTGGAAAATACAGAGAGGAAATCACTCTTAGTTTGCATGGGACTGACACAGTATATTTACATGAAATTTACATAGATATACAGGTGTTACTGCAAACAACATGAGACAGATAAGCAAAGCAATACAATACTTGTTTAGAAAGCAATATACAGTTGTGAGTGACAATATACAAATTGATTACACCTTATATTAAGTAAACTTGAACTAGTGTTAATAAAGTATGAGCAAAAACTTAATTCATAATGAACAATTAGGTAAGATAGGATTAGATTAAGAAATTACTTCATTAATCCTAACCTAACCACATAATTAAGCACCGGTTAGTTACTAAACCTCAACGATTCCTAAAAACTATGTCTTCATTATGAATTAGATCTTTGTTCAAGCTTTATTAAGGTGTATATAAAGTATAGTTTTCCAAGTGGCATCTACAGTAGAGTGTTTCATATAGATAGATAGAGTGCAATAGATACAAATACTGTGCCTGAGCTATATTGTGTTCCCGTTTTCCATGCATCATTACAGTTGCGTCATCATATTTTCAGTAGGAATGCAACAATATCCAAATGATGTGTAATATCATGACAGCATTCACCTCACTGTATGGTGTCTATGGCAATATTGTGAGGTGGTTAATCCTATAAATTATACATAAACTCCATATAAAATGCTATAATGAGCCTTTAATGCAATCTTTACAGCCAATTACTTAACTTAATGCAGCAACAGAGCTATGTATTTAAGTATAAGATCTTGAAATATACTGTATGTATGATACATGTTCGGTTGTGAATATTGTAGTATCATCATAGTTATTGTTACATCCCTATATTCACTGTGGCAAAGCATTTCACATCTATGTTAAACAGGTGCTTTTCAAAGATGGCACTCTCATGCAAAGCTACACACAGCATTTTGATTATGGTTAGATGTGATTGCTGCACAGCACGAACAGCTACATCAATACAGCAGTTTGACAATTAAGGTGAGCTACTGGACTAATTTGTTATATTGTATAGCAACATTTTGGTGAGAAATACTGATACAACACTCAAACAATGTTATTAATATCATTATTTTTAAATGTTAAAAACAGGATTGAGCCTTGCAGTTCTGGCAACTTACTGAGGCTCATCTGACACAATGTCTGTGCGGCTGAATCTACAGGAAAAACAAAATGGGGAAAAAGATGGGAAAATGAACAATAACGATAATGCTAAAAATAACATTTGCTTAACTTAAAAGCATACACATTTTAATATTTTAGATACTGCAGATGCATGAAGAGAACAGAAGAGAAAAAAATTAAATAAAAGTATAGTAGCAAATTTAAATGTTTGTTAAAATCACAGTATGTAACTTTTTAGATAAAAGAAGATAAAAGCATGTTCTTTCAATTTGGTTGCGTTTATTTCACCAAAAAAAAAAACCTACAAAAACATGCTTCCTTGCTCTGAGCAGGCTTGCATTTACACAAACCTGACTAACTCTTTTTGCTTGTTTCAACTCAAATGATGTTCCTTTGCATACACTGTGTTATAATGAGTATCTATCACCATGAAGACTGTTCCATAGTATGATTTTAAATTTCTATCTCCATGCAGGTGATGTGCAACCTCCAGAAAGTTACATACTGTACCTTTAATGAACTAAACCAAGTAAAATGTTACAAATATTAATGCATAACAGTGCATTTGTACTCTTTACAACTTAAAATTAAACTTATGATATCATAGGTTTAAGGCACAAAAATGTGATGAAAAACATAAAATAAATTAAAAGATTGTGTATCACATTCCTTATGTTGCTGATGCATGTTAAATTAATTACAAACACTATATTCTAACATTGCTCCTCTTATACACAATGTAGTTCTGCTTTGTCATGCTTCGAATCTCAACACAAGGTGGCAGACTTTCCACAGAGGATCACAGATACTAGGACCTAAAAAGGTTCTATGACTGTGCACTATCTTTATTTGAACCCATGTCTTCTTCCCATCAGGTCTCACAAACATAATTCCAGAGGATAGGAGCATATGGAAGTCATCTCCACAAACTGGCATTAAAATGTGCCTTAAATTAGACCCCACCAAGGCGTTAACATGAAGTGCATGCGGAGGGCTGAACACAGAGGCCTGGCCCTGTGATGTGAGGGGCCCCTGGTCTGCGGTGGCTCCCACATGAAGAGCACATGTCTCTACATAACATACAGTATATAGGTCTTATACGCCTGTTGGCCGTATGCTGTGAGATTGTGGGTGAGATACAGTCAGTTGCGTTACTACTGTTATAACTGGAGGCCACACGCAACTTAAAATAGTTTCTTTAGTGTTAAAGTTAGCAATATGACTACAGAAGCGTGCACACAAGGCACCAATGGAGAATCCTATTCATATGTTATTATATTGTATTAATATAAGCAAGGATGAGTAGCATTTGGCTAAGAATGCCAGGTGTCACAGTAGAGCAATAGGCATACTGTTGTTGTGTCCTTAGGCAAGACACTTCACCCACATGCCTAGTTATTGGCTGAATATCCATTTGGAAATTAATCAACTTTCAGAACTGTATATTGCTCGTCTGCTGCGATGCCAAACATTATTGGGAACACTGAATCTGATTACTTGCTAATAAAATTCACACTGCACTTTTAAATACTTGATAAATAAAAATGTGTTAAGACAACCTTCAATATTAATTTCCATACTAATAAAAAAAAATTGGGATCAAATGTTAAAATCAAACACCAACTTGATAAAGTTAACTTCAGCCAAAACTATTTAAAAAACTAAACAATTTCTCCAGTAATTTCTGAAATCTTCTAGTAATCTTGTAATAAGCAAGTCATCTTTTCTATTTGAATTTCGATTCACTATTACTAAAATAAAATATAATTAGAGATACGAGAATGTGGGGTTAATCAGATATTAATTAATGCTAAAACTACTACTGAAACTAGATACTCATTTGATAAGTAACAACACTAAAAGTCACATTCACAGGGTAGGAATCTTTCCTCAATATCTTTAGAATAATCTTGAGCTGTATCAGAACAAGTATAAGAGCACATAGACTAGTATATGCCCATGGACCACTATGGAATCTGTGGTCTCGAAATCAGTATTGAGTATTGAGTATCAAATCTATTTCTTAGTGTCAAAATCAAATTTTTGTATCATGACAACACTACTAGAGTGTCAGTGTTGACATTTGATGACACAATCTCTCTAGTATACAACATCAGCAGGTTCCAGCTCATGGAAGTAATAACAAAAATCAAACAGCAGCAATTGAAGGAGGGTGGTCTGGCAAATAAATAGAAATGAGCAAATGTAGCCTTGTAGCCTTAGCCTTTTATCATCCAAGCGGTACTATCATGAGTTGCACATTTCATGCAGAATCAGTCCATAATTCTAGCTCTGATGTCTCACGTTGTTGGAAGACTGCTGTCCAACCAAGCAGCAGCTCCTGGCTCACTTTCGCATAGGGCTCTGTTTTTCCCAGGTCCTGGTTCAGCAGATGGAGAGGAGGCCAGGGAGGCAGGCACAGACAGGCTGGTGATGGGGGTAAGCTGGTTCTCCTTAACAGCGATGGGGCTTTGTGGCGTGTCGATAGGTTTTGAGGACATGTTTGGTGAGACTGCTGAACGCTTGAAGAGTTCCTCAGAGCAGGAGCGAGCTGGAGAACTGGAGACGATAAAGCAGACTACAGATTGCTGACTGCTGACAAACCACAATATGGGAAAAATATGTAATTGCAATTTTTCCAACAAGCATTGTGGTTGTGATTAGATTTGAGAGTTACGCTTTAATAATAGGATTCTGTTCAGAGTTCACATTTTAAACACATCCAGGAGAATTGACAAATAAAGACATGAACTAACAAACACATTTTAGAACATGTTTGTGCAGATCTAAACTAAAGGTTACCAGTTTTTAAGCAGAATAAGACAGAATATTTTGTTGTTCACCGAGCAAATTATTGCACTTGCAGTCTTTGTGATTTGTATCAATTCAAATAGCGATTTCTATTATATTGTGATGAATGCAATGCAGCCCTAGACAGCTTTGACTTAACTGTGTCAAAATAAACACCTTATCATACATCGAATACGGAATATAGAAATTACAAACATTCAACCATTCATGCCCTCTTTCACCTGATCTCTGCAGGATAGTTGGGCCTGATTATTGGCTATCTATGTTTTGGTTTGTTTGTATTGTGATTTTATAATGTATTTCTTATTCTGTAAAGCACTTTGAATTACTTTGCATATGAATTGTGCTATATAAATAAACTTGCCTTGCCTTATTACATAGATGGGGAACTGCTGGGAATACCAGGTGCCAGATTGAGGCAGCAGTGGCTCTAGTTCATGCTGTTATGCCCTTAGGCAAGACACTACACCCACTGTACCTATAAATGTGGTGAGTGAGTGATTGGTGGAGGTCTCAAGGGGCTATGGAGCAGATTGGCAAGCTTGGCTGCAATACCATCTTATCACCACAGAGTGTAGAGTGAATGTAAAATAATGCGCTGTCTTGGAAGGTGCTAAATGAATCCGATGAATTATGGAAACACTGCTTGGACAACTAAATGCAAAGCTTCAGATTTTACACTGCAATTTATTTTGAAATGTCACAGGAATTATCCGTAGGTAAACAAAGTCAAATGCGCTTAAACACTAGCGAAAACAGTGGATTTTTATACAACTGGATATTGTCCTACAGAGACTGTGAAAGGAAAATGGCCAATGATGAAAGACTCTTTTCGGTTTTTAAGTTTCTGAGCTTAAGTTTTCAGAAGTTAACCACAAATTATGCAACACTGTGAATAAAAAGACTAAAGTACAGAGTTCTAATTGCTTATTTTATTTCACTTTTATTTAATTAGCAGGTCCCACTGGGATTCAGAATCTCAAACCTGGTGAAGGTAGCAGCCAACACAATCAAAACAAAACCGTAAAACCACAAATGATCATATTATAAAACCATTTGTATCTCTCAAGAAAAACACACGTCTCGATCACCACAAGTTTCACAACAGATTCCAATTGAAGTGCCTTCATGTCTCTTGATGCACTGTGGGTAATTATCCAGCTAGATAAGCCTGAGCAGTATCCTTATTTTTCTGTTCCTGAGGTTGCTATAGTGACACTGAGGAATGGGTCAAGTACAGAGGACTTAAATCTAAACCTTAAATCCTACAATCCCTAAAGCTTCCTGCTTCACTCCCATAGTCTTTACTTTTAGTCATTCAGTGATGAACAGCTATACTTCAACTGTGTTATTAGGGCACTGTAAATCTCTATACATGTAACAAAAGGTTGTCCCAGCATGCCGAGGGTCAGACGAAGGAAGACTTGCTTCTGATATCCTGAGGGCGGGCCGGAAGTTCAATTCCCCCATGAACAATGAATATTTTGATGACTAAAATATTTAATCATCATTTTTGTTGTCATATTTCAAAACTAAATGAAAAGTAATCAAAAAGACTGAAACGATTACTAAAATAGTTTTTGGTGACTAAGACTATGAGTAAAAGTACATATTTTTGCCCACTAAAACTATTATTGCAGTAATTAATAGTATTGAAGTATTTAGTATAATTTTTTGTTGAAAACTAAAAGACAAAATAAAAGCAGAGTGGATCCAGAGCCCAAAACCAGACCATAAACAACCTCAATGCAATACCATTTATCATATAGTTAAAAAAAAAAAATAATAATAATAATAATAATAATAATAATAATAATAAAAATAAATAAATACACTGAAAAAATGACTAAACCTAGAAGTCAGTCAAAAGACTATGACCAAAAGTAAATAAAAAATTCTTCATTTAAAATACACTCCTCAAGGATGTATTTTAAGTCTACATCAATTTTAAATCTTGAGGCTGTAGCAAATTTTGGCGCAAGAAGTTATTTTTTTTAGATGGACTTTTTTATTTATGAGTTTTGAGGCCAGCCTGAGCAACGGACTGTCTAAAATATTATAAATAAAATAAACAGATCCAGTACCTTAACTATAATACTAACTTTTGTACACTTCTGGCAACAAAAACCTGTCAAGAGTCCAGGCTGGGAGAAAGTCAACAGTAACATTTGATCAAAGCCAGTGATGAAGAAATATTTTCCTGGAACAATGCACAAATCTGCTAATAATTTCTTTATCACTGCTGACAACAAAATCAATACTCAATACAACAGTGCCAGAGAAACTTCAGCAAAATATCATTTTTTTCCGGTGCAAGCCTAATTGCAAAAAGTTAGACCAGCGGAGGACAAGCTGAAATAAATTGTATATTTCAAACAGAACATGTTGCCAGAGAATGTCAAATTTTTCAGCAAATAACCCAATTCATTTTGTCATGAAGATGTGCTAATACTGCTATAATACGACTAAGAGAACTGCCAAAAGAAAGTACACAAAAAAACAAAAAATGTAAATGTTTTATCATACTATATAGCGAGTAATGGCGCAAACTGATGGTACCTGTAAGAAATACATTTAAGAATATAACTGAAAATTTTTCCAGATACGAACTAAACCTTCTACAAAAACTCTCCATTCTCTGATCACTTATTTCATGGGAAGTCAAGCCAAGCAAATGTCTAATATTCCAATATAAATGTCTTCATATCCCATCATTCAAGACCCTTTACCTGATTTTCCTCATGTTTTTGAGCTAAATTTGTCTTGCCCTGTACAGATATTTGGTATAAGCAGCTCTTGAGGTATAAATATATCCGCTGTATACTATCTGCATCTAATTAGAAAGCACTTTGTAATCCAATAAGCAGTGTGTGTTAGCATGCAAGTTGTTGTTATCTTTATCTACACTGCAAAACTCCGCTTGAGAGATGTGCTCATTGCAGTGAATATCTAGGATGCTCGGAAGGCATAAGGTAAGTGAGGAATAACTTCAGACCACTGCAAACTGTTAAAAAATTTATGTTTTTCAAGTTTTTAAGGAAGTAAAAATCAGGTACAGTGCCTTTAGATTGTTCCCCTTTCTATAAATAGTTTCACTACTTCAAAACTGATTAATCTACAAACTAATTTCAAATATTGAACTCAACTAAATACTATGATTTTCTATAAGAGATTACCACTAGTCCAGGGTTTCCACCAGAATATAGACCTTGTATCAGAGGTGACAGTCAGATGGATGATAGATGTCTCTCTGGGGGCCTGGGTGTGTGGAGGGGGCACACTGCTCGGTCTAGCCCAGCTCGGCTCATCCTCTCTGGGCATATTGCAGCACTGCTCCCACCCTTTCTGGAGCTTTAGTTTGGAGGGCAGGATAGGGGACGCAGTGGGGCTGTTTCTGAATGGGAATGCTAAACTAGGGGGCTCATATGGACTAAAAGGTAGTATGGAATAGTATGAGATGTTGGGATAGTCAAAAAAGAGAGAAAAATTAACATGTATTGTAAATTGGTCTGACAAAGTAAATTAACAAAACATATGAATGAATACAACATTTTTACATTGAATCTTTTTTATAAACCTCAAAAACCTAATTGAATTTGACAACCTATATAAATTCATTCATATTTTTCCTGTATAAGATGTCAAAATGCATAAACTTTTATTTGTGCAAAAGCAATTCAAGTAAATTATGCATTTTCCAGATAATGTAATGATAATACATACACATAAAAATACATTTTCAACAAACTTTGTGCAGAGAAATATCAGCAAATTGGCATGTTATTATAGGAAAACACATTGCCCCCTTTCTTTTCCAACAGGGTTGCATAACAGGCCAACATCAACAACATCATTTCTACAGAATACTTTTAAATCTCCACCTGGGGCATTAACAATATTTTCTTGATTACTAATTGACTCTGGCTCATAAAATCACAGAATATCTATTGTATATGACTGATCCTTGAAAATCCCCAGGAGCACAGATTTCAAGCTCATGTGGAGGAGGCAGGAGTGCTGAAAGCCCAAACAGAATGATCTTTGACCTCTCTTTATAAATCTGCTTTGTTTTTTTCCTGCTCAGTATATTTCACACGTTGTCTTCCGTCAGTGTGGACTAACATCTGGGCCCCATCAGAGCCTCCCCTGGTACAGTACTGCACTGAGGAGAAGCAGCAGTAGGCTTACTCACTAACAGTGTCTAACTATCTATACACAATGGGCTACTGTAGGGGATATAGACCCAACCTTGAGGCATGGCTTAAAGGACACATGCAAAACTGACTTTTTTGAGCTTTTAATCATGTGGTAATACTAATATAAACTACTAAAAACATAGCTGAAGTTGCATTATTGCTTAATTCATGCTTGTTTTACTCAAATAACACATGCTTTTAAATTTCCTAGGATTGTTATGTCACAGATAAAAATCTGAAGTTCTCCTCCTATGTTTTTAAGTCCATAAATCATCATTAGATTTGTTGTAAGCATTTTTACCATGAAATCACATTTATTACTATTACACACTTCTTTTGACATGTTGGAAAAGGTTGATGGTGTCCCAGAATAGAGAGGACATCTGTAGAAACAAGGTGTAAATTGGCTGAAGATAGCCATTATTTTATGTTCTACAATATGAGATACCAAAGCAAAGGTATTCGACAATACAACTACATAATATTTTTCCTTTTAGTCAAAAAGTTACTGTGGGCAAAAGGGTGACTGATATAACATTAGTATTGTTACATAAATCTGGAGGAGCTCTCATTGAATGGAGAGGTGGGTGAGTACTTGCAGCTGGCATGCTCAGGCAGGATTTTCTTTATCCAATCAAACAAATGTATGTGTAGTTTTGATAACAGAATACATTGTTCCTAAGACAGGAAACAATTACAAGTTATTCCCTTTAGATGGCAACTTAGAAATAACAGTTTGGTTTAAATTATGTATATGTTTGCGGCAATGACCCATGACTCTTTGATAAAATATGGTATCTAAAATGTTATACAGCTATTCACATGAGAAACAAATTGCATTACAGTATTTGTCCATTAATCAGAGCCCCTGATCCATACACCCAAAAATGTTTATCTGAGGCCCATAAAAAAATGGTACACTGATAATGACTCACAATCGCTTTTGACTGAAATTGAAAAACAAACAGTGACCAATCTCCAGGGTATATCCTTGCTCCATATGAGGATAACAGGCTGCGATTGAGGGTGGGTATGTTCGAACAACACTGTAGTACTGAGTAAAATAAAGACTGACCTTCAGCATGTAAATACACAGTCATCAACATTTGCCACTGATTAATTACCAAAAAACTGCTACAACATAAATCATAACAAGGCACAAACCTCATCTCCTAGTAAGTCATGTAAACAGGTTATAACTTGGGATACTGCTTCTCACCTGAGTGGTCTGTCTCCCCCTACAGGTGAGGTGGCGGTACTCCAGCTCTTGCGGCTGCTCTCGCTGCTGTCACTCCTCTTCTTTCGCAGGGGGAGGGGCATGTAGCCGCTTTGGTTGCTCTTATTGGGCAGGTACTGGTTAAAGGGCATAGCGGCTTTGGGCTCACTCACAGAGGTCCGCCGTGCCAACATGTCGTCTTTACGCACGTCCGGCATCTTCCTGTGAAACGGGCCGTCCGACTCTGAGTCACTGCCGCGGCCTGCATGGGAGGAGAGAGACAAACACACTTATAACTCCCAAAAAACATTTCATAACTTCAGTATAACAAGGAAAAATAAGAGGAATAAAAGGCAAGAATGAAAACAAATGACTTTAGCGCTGCAATAACCAAGTCACTTTGCTAAGGATGTAAATAACCTTCTTGCTGTGAGGGCAAAGTCCAGATCAAGTCACACTCTTTGCATCTTGTCTTATATGTTAAAGCCGACCCTTTATTACAGACAAGACTAGGAGTGTGCAAAAATATTGAAATATCGATATATATCGATATATTCACCACCCACATTGCCTAGTATGAAAGTGGTGTTTGCGTGAGTGGTGATGGTGGTCGGAGGGACCGATGGCGCCGATTGGTATGGCAGCTGCGCTTCTGTCAGTCTGCCCCAGGGCAGCTGTGGCTACAACAGTAGCTTACCATCACCAGATATAGAGTGAATGAATAATGCTGAATGAGTAATGCTGAATAATGCTCTGTAAAGCATCTTTGGGGACAAAAAATGTTTGTGAAAAGCGCTATATAAATAAAGACTTACTTACTTATATCTTATCGTTTAATTTAATGATATAGTATCAATGTCGTGGGGTGCTGTATCGACATTTCGCCAAGAGTAATTTTAGGTATATTTTACTAAATTATTTTGTGTAAGACATACAATTGTGCTGACATTTTCACTGTTTTGATGAGTAAAATGGGTGTTTTTCATATTACCTTTGCACAAACTTAGTGACCTTAGTGGACTTTTAGTATCACACCCATGATTTAGCCTTTTTATGTATCGAGGTATGTATCGTATTGGCAACTTCTTAATGATACCCAGCTCTAGTCAAGACAATAAAATAACTTTAAAACATTAAGGCAACATACTTTCCATAAATCATAAAGAGATAATAACTTGATTTTATGGAACAAGTCATAAGTCAGGAGTGGATTTACATTAGGAGGGCGGTCCGGGTAAATTCTAGTCTACAACATGGAGGAATTCGCTGGGGAGGTCACTGTGTCTGTATCAAATCTTCCACACAGTCTGAGCTCTATAACTACAAGAGCAACACCTGGTTCTGCCAAAGTGCACATCTCAAGGACTTTCCCCTCCGTACCTCTTAAATTCCACTGCAGCGCGCTCCCCTTTACAAGACACATTGATATGCTATGTTTATCTCAACATCAATGATCTTCAAGCTATGTTCTTGGCCATATTTTCTCGTCTTGGTTTTCGTCAAGGTCTTTAAAAATTCCTATGCAAGATGGTCCACATGTGTGCTACTGGAATCCCCCTTTCTTTCCTCCACTCAATGTAAATCCAATGAGTTTATGACCTAATGTGTATCTTTCCAAGCGTAACCCACAATTTTAAACAGACCTAAAGCTTTTCCCTAGAAAGAAGCTACAAGATGCAATGGAGGATTTGAACTTTTGAATCCCAAAATAGATACAAAGTGGAAATGACTGTCAGCTGAAGGACTAAACTCAGCCTTGAGGTATAGAATGATGGATCTTTTAACCCATCAATTGAGAACATGAGTGACTGTGGTGCAGAGTGCTCCCAGTGCACATATGGGAGCAGTGAAGTTTAAGACCCCACTTTTCATCAGAGGTCATGGGGAGACTTTATGGTATAGCAAAGTCAAAAGCATCAGCGCACAATTTGACTGTGATTTAAAGTGGTTTAAAAGTGGAGGGATACAAGTCAAAGAGGATCCAGCAAGTTTGAATCAAGTCAACAGAAATGCCATGTTACAGCAAGCATATCAAGTACACTTTTTCAATCCCATATAATTTACGTAGTCTTTCTGTCTATTCTTCTGTATTCATTATTACTACAGTACCAAAACAAACAACAACAAAAGATTAATGTACTACTTAAAAACTTTTACTACGCTATTTGTCACTACAAATCAACTAAATGGCATCAAGTGGAATTAACGAACAATGTCATTTGTTTTTGTTATTAAAAAAAAAACAAACATGTCAGACACAGGCTCGGGGGCCAAATTTTTCAATATTTAGTTTGGCCCACGATTTACTCCCAGTTTTTAATTTTGGTAATTTTGGAGTTTGACACCCCTCTTCTAGACAATGATGAAAAGGTTCTGAAAAGGTACCATTCACGTACAAGTACAAAAAATGAGGTATTATTCAAGTACTGCCTTATCATCCCATTCACCACAATCTGGATTAGACCAGGACTAGAACAGGACCAAACCTAGTCTATATTGGGGCTAAACCTGGCTCAAAACAGGACAAGTGTGTACAAAGCCTATTTATGTTGTAGTAAAAACAAAGCTATCAATAACACTGTGTAGCTTGTAGAGATCAGCACCTTTGACCTAACTCTGAACTGGAACTGTTTATTTCAACCCTTCAGAACAATAATACAATACCACTTTAGTAGCTCAGTTGGTAGACTGTTGTCCATTGATCTGAAGGTTGGATGTTGGAATCCTGCTCTCAACAAAAAGCATCATTGGCCCCTCAGTGTCTGTGTACACTGGTGTATGAATGAGTGATTCTCGATTCTTCAAAGCTCTGTGTGCCTTGAAGGTAGAAAAGCGCTGTATAAAAATGTAACCATATGTTTTCTGCAATGTTTAAACTTCACAAACTTGAAAATTATCTATGGTTGACAGTTAACCATGATACTGGCTTCTACATGCAAAGGTATTTAACTAACAGGTCTTCACCACACCAATTTCAACAAAAACATACATTTTAACCACGGAAAATGTTTGTAAAATGTATTTGCTTCACAGAAAATGCTCGTTAAGTGTTCTGCCATAAAGATGATTGATAAAATCTGTTAAATGTCTCTATTGTGCATTCATGAATTGAATTAACCCAATCTAATGTAAACAGATTTATTTCACGTGGGTGAGTAGCTTACTGAAAAACCAGGAACAAAAACAAAGCCATAATAGTAGTCGGAAATCCTTCAAAGCTGTAGTCCAAATATACCCATGTGTATGATATCATTCTTTCTGGTTTTGGCCCGTAGCCGGTAGTGAGGCGTGGTCCGGGATCTACTGAAAACTGAGAGGACAGGCTTTGTATAGGCTCATTTATCGACACCGTATCTATCTGCAAAACTCAGGCCAAACAAAAGAGCAATGCCGATATTGGGTTTCTTTCTCAGATTGGATTAAACTGCTCCTCTGTCCACTAATTGCGGCCGGGGTGAAGGCGGACAAGGCAGAATAGTGAAAGAGTTTGTTCAAAGGTCAGGGAGGGAGAGTCCAGTTGGCAATGTGCATATTTGTAAATGGAGGTATTGTTCTGGTATTATAAGGAGCAGAGATTGACTGATAACTGCATTGTTGTATGACTCTCACCTCTCTGGACTGTACCACCTGAGGCCCTTGTGAACGCTAATATTGTATTCAAGAGAACAACAAATATCAGATAACTTCCGGAACATATAGTCCATAAAGAGCAATCATTTATTGTATGAAATTAAAGGTCTACACTATAACCCTTTACAAACATGCACGTTCAGATGGTTCAGATGCAGAGCGCTAGACTTTTAGTGCACAGCCACACCCTTTTTTCCCACCTGGAGGTGACACTTTCCTGGCCCTAGTGCTAAGTGCGGGCAGGTCGGCTGCACGAACTCGCTCCTGTTGTGTTCAAAAGCAAAATACAAAAATACCGCAGACTTTATTGACATGTCTGTACTGAATAGAGCAGAAGAAGAGCATCAAGAGGTCACACAGGTGTGTTGTTTGTAAAGTGTTTGAAAAGTTTCCACAGTTTTGGGAAGTGTTATTAGCCACTTGATCGAACATTTAAAGATTTGCTCATTTTCTTATTTAAATATAATGCTAAAAAACAAAAAACAAAACTGCAGTGCCTTGGACTAATGAATTGGACTAGACTGAATTGGACTAGACGTCGCAATGTGTATCACCGATTGAGAAAAATAAAATTGGAAAAACAAAGTAGGTACAAAACAGTGGGCGTATGCCAGTGGCGATGAAAACGGGGGTTGATTGATATGTTGATGATATGGCGTCTTAAAAACAAGTGATTAAAGATCGCTTAAATATGCACAAAACACTCCAAAAACAACTTTAACGAGAGTAAACGAGAAGGGGAAACAATTATAAAACAGTTAAAAGCTCCGAAAAGTAGATTTTGCATCACAGGTCTACTTTCAAATTGACCACTACATGTAATAAAATATCAACAATTTTTCATTTGTCATCAGTTTTTTAACAAATTATAAACATCAAGACCGTGTGCTTTGCATTTGTGGTTTCATTTTGGTTTTGACACTATACAATTGAGAACACACTCATTTACAGTAAACCATGTTACTCAAAATAGCTAGAAAACAAATTGGAATACGTTCCCCAACACATTTCTTCACAACTTGTTTACATCACTTTGTTTACCATAGCTACCGAGGTATTTCGTTTCAGTTACCCTCAAATCAATCAGTGTCAGCTCCGTAACCGCATCATTGTTCAAACAACCACAAAAAGTGTCTTACGTAATGACTTAATCCGCCTCTAGCTGTTGTCAGTCAATTCCATCAACACTACCTTAAAACTCGCTATTAGCTAAAGAACCTTAAAGTATGCCCAGAGCTGCTTTTGTGTGGAAATCCTCATTGAAAAGTTACTACAAACACTATGACGTTGACGCAAGATTTGACATGTGACAAAGTGGTGATACCATCTATTTATATCCGTACAATGCAGAGAGACACATGTGCAATATCGTAAACTTCGTATACAACTCACCAGCGGCATCACAGCACGCAATCTGGAAATAAGTTATATAAGAGAAATTGCGCAATGAAAACAAGAGGTGTGGAAAATATAATGTAGAATTATATGACGTTAGCTAGTGAGAATTGTGGCTCCTATAGACTGGTGATGCAGTAACGGTAGGCTGGTTGCATTATTTGTTATAAATGCATTGGGATTTAAAGGGCACGCGTTTCTGCAGTAGACTTCATGCTTGCTTAGCTCTAAAACACACACAAGTACAGACAAAAAGTGTCCTAAGAATGAACTATGCTTTCAGTGTAGTTTTTGTATTGTGTCGTTTTAAAATGATTTTGTGGTTATGAAGAGGAGCTTGGAGTTGCGCAATATTGAGTAACTGTATTCATAGAGCTATTATGCAATTAACCAAAGAATTCAAGTATGAGAAACAGATAAAATCTAAACAAAATGGTTAGGATCTCATAGGACCAAGGGCCTTTCTGGTGTTGTTTGCATATTCTACTCATGGGATTTTCTAAGTTCTCCAGTTCCTTCATCATCCTAAACCTGCACGATGTTAACACTTCATCACTGGCAAGGGCCATACATTGAAGTGAAGTTGTAGTTAAGTTAAAAACTTTAAGATGGAGTACCCGCTTTTATTTGTGAAAATTATTACATTTAAATCTAATATTCAAGTATTATATCTTTATTGCAAATCCAGAAGAGTCATACACAGACCTAAGACAGACTGCACTCACCGCAGTTTAATTTTGCCTTCTGAAAAAAAGCATTTATAAAGCCATTTTCACACTCCAAAATTCATGTGTGCTAAAGAGTTTGTGAACGCTAGAATTTCATCAGATAGATTTAATACAGGTGCCCTCTTTTTGCGGGTAATGCAGCTTTAAATGTATTTACTCATATATGAGACCATTCATGATATCATCCATACCAACAATAGAACAAAAATGTAGTTAAAGTATAGTATAGTTAAAAAAAAACCCAAAAAAACAAACAAACAAAACAAAAAAAACAATTCCATGGGTGATATAGCTATACCCAGGTCATAGTCTTCATGAGACAGCACAGATATAGTAGAGTGTATTGTGTTTGACAGGCCCTGGGCAGTCTCCTCCACAGCAGCAGCCCTCTGCAGTAGCACTGTCCACAATGTGCCTCTTTCATCTGGATCATGTAACCCACACAAGTGCATGTGTCTGCTAACCTCTCATTTTAACTTTCTCATACTTTAGACTGGAGAAGAAATAGTACTGTGGGATAGAGTAGTGATCAGTAGTTTGACAAAAACAATAATACTGTAGGACAAAAATCATTTAAGTGTGTGTTTGGGGGACATTGTGTAATATGTATATTGCAGGCAAACACTGAAAGAGTGAGCAACCACACAAAACTATGATCATCTTTTCACAGTCAAAACAAGAGTGCACAAGATGCTCATTTCCAAAGAAATTTTGTAATCCATTTATTCTGGGCTGTTTACTGGAAATTCGATACATATTTTATTCTGTTTCAAGACAAATATAGTTCTTTTTGCATGTGTTTTAGAGTGTGTATAGTCAAGGTGATCTAAATACAGATTTTCTTGCCTGGCCCCATCTGAAATAAACATTATATTACGTCATCACCCTTATAGAACATTGTATTGCCTGAAAATCATCAGTACTACCTAAACATTAGTGAGTGTCAAGGCCGTACCATCGCTGTTGGCGCGGGGCCCCAGGGCGTCAGGGGACGGCGTGTGTCTGGAGCGAGAGCCGAGGGAGTCCAGGCTGTCGAGTGAGTCCTCTCGGCCGTGTGCAGGAGGAGAGAGAGAGTCACTGCGCTCCGAGTCCCAGCTGTCGATGTAGCCACTGTCCCTGATGCTGCGTCCGGGGCTGTCAGCCTCCTCTGCCTCCTGTGGACAGACAAACATTTATGACCAAAGCACAGACTTATAAGTTTAGAATGACTTTATTATGCCCCAAACATGTAAAAATCTTAACTGGTGTAAAATTCAATTATGTGTGATGATACTATTCCAAGTTTTATTTTACACTAAAACAAAGCCCCACCACGTAACATTCAAAATAAAGACTAAAAGCACTGGTTCAATTATAAGTGCTTTTATTGCACTGAAAATTAGCTGAGTAGTTGCTTCTTTAGAAGGTTGGCTTGAGCTTCTCTGAGGACACTGTCTAGTTCCTGTTGCCGGACCAGGCCCTCTGCCCACTGGCTCTCGCATTTGCAGAGCTTCTTGTCCACCATGTGCAGCCTGGTCCTAGCTCGCACCATATTTGATTGGCAGTTTGCTATGGAATGCCCCCAGTGGTTCCTCTGCTCTGGTTGCTCCATCTTCCTGATCTGGTAGCCTGCAATGAGCTCCTTATACTTCTCCAGCTGGTCCAGTTCTTCGTCAGCTAAGGTGTAACACTCACGGATGGCTTCGTGAACCTTCAGCTGCATGTCCTCCAGTTCTTTCTTTTTGGCCTGCAGAGCCCTTATCTCCTCCTCCAGAGGCAACATGGGAAGCTTGCGCCACCTCTGCCTACGCTCCATGGTGTCCTGGAGGTCTTCGTGTGGGAGCAGGTGATTCATCATCTCTTGGACTTTAGCTGATTGTCGTAATCTTCACTTTGTCTGTCTGTTAGCGTGTCTCTGTAAGTTGCTTTAAACTTTTGGCCACGGTGTTTACATTTGTTTTGCTTGGTATTCCACAATAATATGAAATGTTTAAGTTTAAATATTAACTTTAAATGAGACTACAACATCACGTCACTAAGGCAACCAAAATCAATGTCAATTGTCTAGCATTTGTTCTGAACTGGACCGTATATTTTAAGGTTATTGCCCCTCTGTGGGGACATTTTAGGGCTTCAGACGATTATTTTGCGATTAACTTAATCTAGCATATTCTTTTGATTAATAAATTTGTTCTTTAGAAAGTGAAAGGCCTCTGAACATAAAAACTTTAGTAAATCTGAATCAGATAAAGCTAAAGTGAAAAAACAAATTTTCAATCAAAGCGACTCAATTTCCAGATTTCTTGCGTAATTGCTCCTCACAGCAAATGGCATGTTTTGAAGTCTGTATACACCATTTACTGATTTTTTTATTACCAAGTTAGTTCAGTTATTTCAATAATCGATTAACTGCACTTAATTGATTAACTTGTAGAGCGCTGTCAACAAAGCAAAGAGTGGCTACTTTAAGGAATTTACTTTAAGGAATTTGAATTAAAAAAAATAATTAAAAATATACTGAGTTAAATTTTGTTCTTTGCTACATAATTCTATCCATCTTGCTTCATATATTTGATGTATTGCCTATGTATAAAATGTAGAAAGTATTAAACATAAAAAAAAAAATAAATGAGAAGGTGTGTCCAAACGTTTGTCTGGTAGTGTACATCTTCTATGAAAGAAGGAGCTCAGTTTTCAAGAGCAGAGTTTATCAAACATGACAAATTTGAACATTAATGAGCGCAGAGCTTTCATCGATCTGAATGGTCTGTGAAGAAAGTAAATGACGCATAAGCACTAAAAAGAGTTAAATAAAGTGGTCAGGCCAAACCTAGCAGTTTGTCTGTCACCAAGACTTAGCTACACCCACAAGTGACAATGAAGGGCCTTTAACCCATTTACCTGAAACAAGTAACCACACAGAAATCATAATTTCTAGGCTTATATTGTAACCAGTTATGCTTTGTCATTGTATATATGTAAATGTAGAAATTAGGCAAGTTTTATGTGTTTCAGCTTTCAGAACACAAAATGATTATTTTTGTTTCCTTGTTCCACATTTATAACATGTTTCCTATAACATAACATACATAGAAGAAAGCACAATTTCCGTTCTGCTTCTCATAACCTATGAAGTGTACTGTTTAGACAGTCCTCTCTCCTCAGGCCATACTTCCAACATATTCAACTCAAAACTTTAAATCTCTCACACACTACCATTCATAACTCCATTCTTAGAAGCCTTCCCCTATAAATCCTATGAAAACAGGCCCCTATGGTAAGATTCATTTTCTGCTCCTTTGACCACACTGACCCTCTCAGTGGATGGAGCACATGCTTATAACTAATACAAGGTGGGGTAAGGTCTTTTCCTGTCTACAGAATAGCTTCCTGAACTAGACCCCACTTATGCAACTAAATCCTTGAAATATTGTTTTGACTCCCGCTTGGCTACAACGAGATTTCCCTGTCAGTATTCATTTTACCTCCATCCAAGCCTACCTGCTCCAGCTTATGTCACACTATCTTCAGTGTATTTTTATATTCAGCTTTTAGTTTCAAGGTTTCAACATGTGGGATTTTATTTATTTTTTTTTTTTTGCTGAGTTTGCAGTAAAATTCATATTAATATAGAGGTGATATCATGGTTAGGCTGGTTGTCATGGGTGGTGTTTGCATGCGTTGGAGAAATGCCAATGCTGACTTTTGCAGTTTGTACAGTGCTGTCTAAAAGGTAGAACAAAGCAGGGATGACAGGGGCATGTGCTGGAAGGTGTCTAGGAGGCAGTGAGAAAAATAAGGATTGCTTCTAGCGACACGGCTTCTTTAATCCACTATTATGTTTTTAATTAAAAGGGACCATATTACGCTTTTCTCTGATCTGTTGTAACGATGTTTCCTCATCAAAAACTTAAGATGGAGTTTAATATACAAATCCTGCGTATTTAGGCTGAGTTCTTTTATCAAACAGAAAACAATTCCACCTTGTGATGTCATGTATTAGTACAGGAAGTGCTCCACTATGTTTTTAAACTTCAACACCTTTACTAGAATCATTTGGAAAATTTCAGCCAATTTCTACTAAACAAAAGGTAAAATGCTTGCCTGGTTCATCAGACAGTTTCACTTTGTTAAAACCGTCTGACCTCGCAGCATTAAGATTCGTTTGCTCAACGGTACGTGGGTACTTTTTTATTTAACCAGTCGCTGCTATTTGGTCATGACGTATATAATGCATCGAATCCTGTAGGAAGAAGGGCAATAACGTCTTTCCCCTTGACAAAATTCACCAAACATTCTCTTTGTTCCGGCTTTAAATTTTCAGTCTTGGGAATCATTGCCAACACAGAATGTCTGGCTTCATGTACATCCATCTCGACCACTTTGTTTACTGTTGTGCTGTACCACAAAAGGGACCCAGACAGGCGCTTGAGTTTGACGTCATGGCTTCCCAGCTCATCGCTGATTGGCGCGGTCTACAACTTCCGGGGTTCTTGAAAACCGTCTAGTGTATTCCAATTCCTGACCTAGTCGCTGGAGAGAAATTAAATTGAGCAAATGCACTAGGTGGGGCCAGCCTAGCTAGTAAAATGTAGCTTTTCACTTGAAAACTACTGCTTCATTACATCACAAGGTGGAGCAGATCATTTGAGCTTTAGAGATGTAGACAGACTAATAAACCAGGATTACTCAAACATGTGTGGATGAAACAAAATACAACTTCAAGGATGTATGATGTTTGATGTTTGATGAGGTAACAACATTCAAACATGGATTAAAGCTCACAAGAGTATGTTTCACGTTGAGCCAGATCATTCAGCAACTGATCCTTGATTTGTCCTTGGTTCTAATTTAAACCCATTTGAGTCTTCGTGAAGATTTAGTTTAATCTTGCTCTAGTCCTGATTTAATCCAGGTTTAGTTCTGTTTTTTTCCCAATGTTTATGTAGCTTCATACAGTTTTTGTTTTGATTGCTTTATCTCAGTATACAAAATGTATTCTGTTCATATATTGATTTTGGAATCTGTAATACAATTTCAGATGTTTTGTAGATTTAAAGATTTACCAGCTCTAAATTCCAACTCAATTTCACAATCTCTCTTTGAAAAACACATGTGAAAGTATTAAGTAGAATATTTTCAGTTTGGCCCTCAGCTATGTCTATTTTAGGTTAATACTTTGAGCAGTAGAGTGCAGAAAGCAATAATCTGTAACAAACAGCCATATTTTTCGCAAGACTAAAGTACTTTTAATCTTGTATCCTCATCATAAACACACCTTTTTTATCACAGTAATCCTTCATATTTAGCTTGATAAAAACCTTTAGAAATGCTTAGCCATGCAGTTGCTTCCAATCTGTTTTTCATACCAACATACTACTATATCATATGGTGACACAAAAGTACCAATACTAATTATTTGATCAGTAATGGCTTAATGTCATTTTATGTGAAGCTCAGTGCAGCTAAGAGAAGATGATATGAGCCAACCTTTCGCATCTGTGACAGCAGGCCTTCAAACTGTGCCAGGTCCAGCGTGGGCCCGTTGTAGGAGGTACAGCAGTTGGCAGCACGACCCAGCCAGTAGAGAGTGATCAGAACCTGCACAAGCAACAAGCAAGGATATTAGGATAGGACCAAATAAATACTCTTGTAAAAAAGTAAGCTAGAAAGTAACATGGTTGATAGCAGAAGTGGCCCCAACCACCACAGTTTCACAGTTATGCCAGCTCATTAAAAAGGTTAGGGCTGGGATTACAGGGTTCTTCAAAATTTGACACGATAAACAATGGCTCAACTTCAGTTCCATACTTGGGATTTTGACTGCAAGTAGAGTAGGAACCAAAGAGCAAATCCAGAGCAAGATTGTTGAAGGTAACACTACTTCCTGCCTGCACTACTGGTTTAACAAGCCTGATTTATGGACAACAGGGCAAAATAAAAACACCAAGATCACGTAAAGCAGGTTAATCTGAACATTTTAAGACCAAAATGACGAGTCTGCCAGGAATGGTTACAGAAAGAGGGACGATGATTTTTCAATGGAAGATGAAATAGAGCCTGAGCTGATGAAGCCGGAAACGTGCCTATGCTCACTTCTTACTTAGAATGTGGTGCCTGGCGGGTTAGCTATGTCTATTTATATATGCAGTCCACGGATCAATCTGAATTTTTGAAAAACTAAATATTTTTTAAGTGTTAAACCAATATCTGCAAATGTATCAAAGTCATCAATATACCAAGAAATAGTTTCTGCAACAAGAGCCTGTGACAGTGATATTGTATCATCAAATTTATCATCACGGTATACTGATATTTTAGCACATCCAGGAATGTCTTGCCCATGGACACAACAACATTATGCCATGCTGACAGAAGGGATCAACCTAACCTTGTTCTTACAAAATGAGCTACTAGAAAAGAAACCTTCGTACAGTGGACTTCATCCCTTGCTTTGGTAAAAATGAACCCCTTGACCTTGATTTCAAACATCTGATGTTATTTCTAATTTGCAAAGCCTGTCTTGAGTACCATAAACCTTTCCTGGAAGTCTTCTCAATTCTTTAATTAGTAAATCTATTCTTATAAGCAGTTGTATAGTCGGAAAGTTACACCACAATAAAAAAACTGTTTTTCCTATCCCCTTAGGCAACATTCAATACATGATACTTTCCTGCCTACTCTAATCCATCCACTATTCTGAAGGGTGACATGTTAGCATTAGGGCCCTGTACAAATAAGACAAGAAGTGGCTATTGTTATGGCCCTACTCTGGGTAGGGCACTTCTACTATCAGCAATAAGGCATCCTGTTCACTACACACTGTGATTGATGGCACTGCATATAAAACCAGGTCAGATCCATTTTAGTGGGGCACATAGAAGACGCTAATATCTGCTGGGGAAAAGTCTGCAACTTCAAGCATTTCTGAACACAATATATTTAAATATTGTGACTTCAGTAATTTGTAGGTGCTTGTTGGAACACAAACTATTCATTGTTAGGCACAAGAGAAAGAGAAAAGCATTATAAACAACATTAGTAGGACAGTAGTCATAAGCCATGTTTTGATTGCTTTTTCTCACTAAACTCTACTTGACCTTGTGATAAACCACCACATTACACACCAGTGATTAGGATAACAAAGCTGGTGAACATTAGTAACAGCAGTTTCCTGTTTATGGGTGCTCGGCACTCAAGATCGCATCAGGATTGTAAATATTACATCTCTAGTGCAGAACCACTAGCCAAAAACAATGGATTGCATAAAGAGAGTTCAAATGTGATACAGAGGTGCAGAGAAGATAAATAAATGAGCTTGTATAGAAAGTTTGGATACTTAGATAGTTTATAATGAAGAGTTGAACAATAAACCAGAAGTAGCTTTGTGTGTATGCAAACTTTAGCCACGTCTCGCAGCACCACAAACTTTGAATTTCTAAACATCATTTTGTGAATCACTGACACCAGAATTATGATTAAAAATGAATAGTAATAGCAATAACTCAAGAATGATTTAGATAGACAATTTGGTTTGAGGCGGCCCCAACAAACTGAGCGTACTGTGTCAATGTAAACATAGCTATAGTAGTAATAGTAGTCATAGTAACACAAGAGATCTAGTACATTTAATAGTACCAATAGGCTGTTGGTACTAGTACTACTGAAAATATGGAGTAATTCAAAGTAAAAGAAAATGTAATGTGTATTCTGATGGAGATGTATTTTTTACTGAAGTCATAACTTTCTCCAGATGATATGCTCCATCAGGCTGAGTTACATGTTAAATGCCTTATCTTCAGATCAATTACATACAGATCATATGGCAGATCAGGTGTAACTACACCTTTAGCAGCACTGCCAACCTGTTCTGCTATATTTACTGTGCCCATGTCAACAGCCTCTCTGGGGGACCGCTGTAGCAGAGCGCAGATTAATGGGTTTATTTCAGACCTCTCAGAACACAGCCTCATTCACAGTCATTCTCCCAAGAGTAGACATGTATTTACACAGAAGGGTATATAGAAAGTATGGTAGTCTAGATTGTATTGTGTTTTGCATGGAAAAAAGTCTAATAAGCCTTGTTTCCAGTGATTCACTTTGAAGCAGACTGGTATCAGAAGTAGTTTTGTGTTTATGATAGCTTTAGCTATGCCTCACAGTGCCGACAAAATAAACTTTTTGTGATTTGTTGAGATCTGGCTTATAATTGCAAGTATTATTCAATATATACTACTTTGATTCTATTTATTAAGAAAACATTGTTAATGTTTTGGTGATGTCAGTGTCAAACAGACACGCTCCAAGGTGGCTCCAAGTGAACCATACCAGAGGAAAAGAGGCTATATGTGACACTGGCCAAATAAATAATGGGATATGAGCTGGAAAAATAACTAAATACTGGAAAAAAAAAAAGCTGGAAAATTTTGCAATAGTTATATTGTCTCAACTTCCCCTTCTAGAGAGACATTATTTAATTCTTTAAACTACAAATTTATTATTATTAAAGATGCTCTATGTAACTTTTCTGCCACTTGCTTTGCCTGTTAAGTTTCACATGTGATATTTAACTTATTTTTGTCGTGTTTATTTAATTACAGGTGTGAGCATTGCTCAAAATAACCGTGGATAACATGCATTCTTACTGTGACCTTCTCATAGATCTGACCATCATGATCATAACTTCATGCCACTGAGACAATTAAAATAAAGCAGAATAATCCCAGGAAACCATTCGTATTATTAAAAAGCATGAGCTACAATAACTAAATTATAGTATGAACAAATAATTAATCCTGCAAATTACTTTTTTTTTTCCCCTCTACAGCTTAAATCTGTAGAAAATAGCAGAAACTTTCCCAGTATCACAACAAAAATACGCACATGATAAATACTGACCCCCACATTGTTCCAGCTATCACATACTGAACAATAAGTCAATATAGTAATTATCGCGGCAGGCCTACCCATTCTTATAGTCTATCTAATCATGAGATCTTTTTCAGTGCCCTTTAAAGTGGGTCAGTACTCTGCACATGCACGTTCACTCTCTGCTACTACTACGATCCTCTCGTATTGACCTCATTGACAGACCGGCCCCCATGGCTTCACACGCAAGATCAGAACAACCACAAACAAACCTCAGAGCCAACCAACTTCGACAAGCCAGTAGCAATTCTCCAAACGAATATTAGACTCCTGACTGATGCCTATGTTTAGGTTATGTGTAGCATTAAGTAACAGGAAAAGTTTGTGCACCGACCAGTTTCGGAAGTTGCACGGTGAAACGACAATCACCTTTTGTCTGCATGACCTAAGCTTAAGGGCATGCGTGTACTACAAACACAGTGCAAAACGTACCTAAAGAACTCCCATGCAGGCACCCACAGCTTTGAAGCGCTAACCCTAAACCACAAATAGGCAATACAATGTGCATATTAGCATTTTTTCTGCATGCAAAAGCTCTCTAGCGTTACTTCAAGTCATCATCGCTTCAGTATGTGATCGTTTAGCGAGATCACCATAGTTACCACATCAGCAGATTCTTCAAGGTGCAGGCTCCCTTGAAAGTGCTGCAGAAAAGGGATGCTAAGGCAGAGCTAATCCAGAGCTAGGTAGCTAGGAAGGAAGGTATAGAGAAGAAGAAGTTGCTTGCTAATTTGGCACGGCTGCTGCATAGGCTATAGTAGTAGTGCTTGTAGAGTCAGCTAAATGATATAGTAGAGTGTTCCATCAGCCGGTACTGTGCAGGCAGCAGCATCAGTGAGAGAGGGAGAGAGAGAGAGAGAGAGAGAGAGAGAAAAGAGAGAGGAGGAAGAGGAGGGAGATAGAGTGAGGAGAGAGTGAAGCCGGAGCTGCAGAGTGGGCAGGGCTAGTCACTGGTCCACTTCTGAGAGGAGGCAGGTTGTTAAAGGGCATTCAATGTGAAGAGAGAAAATAGGAGGTGGTGAAATTAAGTATGAAAGGTTCAAATTAGGTGAAAAATGTGAGAATAAAACAAGAATCAGGCCTATTCCTAAACCTAAACCTCTTTAGGATTGAGATTACAAGTGGTTGGTGGTTGGAAACTTGAAAATATCAGATTTTTTTACCTGATTTTTACCATGGTAAAGGGACAGTGCAGAATTTTGGACATAGGACTTCATTTCTTAGTTAGCCAGAGTGTTGGAGATGTGTGGAGATACTTTTTAAAATATTCCATCCAGTCCTTGTATTTGCAGAGCTCGATGGGGCTAGGTTAGTGCATGTCAATGGCCATAGTTATCCTGCCACTAAAAACAGTCTTACCCACTCCACAAAACACTCAAAGCAAATATGTTATTACTCCACGAGTTTCGATATGAACGTCTGTATCAACAGAATAATTTTACAAGTAAAACCAACTTTGCATTTTAAGGATTTATGTCTGAGCAGCAGCAATGAGTTGTACTTCCTGATAGAAAGTTTGGCAGCGGTGGACTGATATCACCTAGCACCTATCTTACCGACAAAGTAAAATTCTGCCACTGCTGAGAAAATAGTCCCTCAACATGCGATGACTCAGGCGATGCAAGGTTAGTTTTATTTACAACATTATTCTGTCAACACAGACATTTACATCAACAGCCTGGTGTAATAATAGATTTGCTTTGGGTGTTATGTGGAGTGGGTAAGACTGTTTTTAGTGGCAGGATAACTATGACCACTGACGTGCACTAGCCTAGCACCAGCGACCTCTGCAAATACAAGGACTGGATGGAATATTTAAAAAAGTGTCTCCACATGTCTCCAACACTCTCACTAAGAAATTAGGTCCTATGTCCAAAATTCCACACACACACACACACACACACAAAAAAACACCTTTTGTTTACAGTAGACTTGGTTTGGTGAAAATCGCAACTTAATCTCATAAATACAGAAACAGTGCAAACTATTTCATTTTAAAGATACTATATTATGTGAAATTGATTCTATGTTGTGTTTTGTTTCATTCACATATGTTTATAACTCCTGTATTATTAGTCTGTCTACCCAAAGCTCAAAATGCTCTCTTCCACATTGTGATGTCACGTAATGGTATTTTTCAAGTTAACAGCTACCATTTATGTTTAGTTCAGTAAAGATGCGTAATTCCAGGGTTGAAATAATCCAAATGATAGGTGTTGAGAGTTTAAAAACACAGTGTAGCACTTCCTGTATTACGACATGACATCACGAAGTGGAATTGAGTGAGAAGAAGACAGTCTAAATATGCAGAAATTATGTGCTAAACGTGTGAATGAAACAAAACACAACTCTACGTATGTTTCAGACGAGGAAACAACATAATCACAAAGATCAGAAAATAGAGTAATAAGAACTTTAAACTCTATAGGCTGTGACTTTATAATGACAGCTACTCTTCCAGCTTGAACAATCCAGAAATATGTGTCTGTTTAAATTGTACTCGCATGAAGTATATAATGTAACAGACTCCACAATCAACATGTCAACACAATACACAAACAAAAGACTGTAACACTATCCACACACAATCTGTGCCATATTTGACATAATGCTCTCTCCACACACTTGTTTACAAAAGCATGTCTGTCTGAGGGAAGCATTGCAAAACGGTTTTATATATTCTCAAAAATCAAAAATTCTGTCACACTTTTAAGCAAAATTAGTAAAACATTCAATGCAAGTTTAAACACTTTTCTTATCTATGTTATAATGTTGTTTCCTCATCAAAAACAAACTTGGAGTTGTTCGACACACACTTCTCTAAAACAGAAAACACTGTGATCCACCTTGTGAGGTCGTGTCCCCTGAGTTTGTAAACTCCATACATCTTCACTAGAATCATTTGGATAATTTCAGCCCTAAAATTGCCAATCTTTACTAAACAAAAGGTAAAAGGTGGCTGTTAAGTTGAAAACTACCACTTCATGACAGCACAAGGTGGAACAGAGCATTTTGAGCTTTGGGGATGCAGACAGACTAATAATAAAGGATTACGCAAATGTGTGAATGAAACAAAACACAACTATGGGTATGATTTTGATGCAGTAACAACATTTTAACATGACTAAAAGCTCACAAGAGTCAATTTTGCATAATAAAATCTTTAATATGCAAGGTATGCAGTTGAATCAAAGCTATGAAAGCAACATAATATGGTAAGAGTGTGACAGAAGGTGAAGAGAGGTGGGGCGTTAAAGTGACAAACTGCGATATAATAATAGCTTCCGCACTAGCCAGCATGCATTTAGAGTTATCACAGGGCCAATCCAAAAGCTGTACTTACATTCTTGAGTTTTCGGCTGCAGACGCTTCCCCTGGGACAAGAAAGAAGAGTTATACAGTCAGTGAGGGTTTTCTGGTCCTATTTATAAGATAATGCACAATTTAAAATCTTATTTGAACTACAGCTTTGGGAATCACATGCAAATTCTTCATTTGATACAAGGCACAAAGCAAAAACAACAACAAAACAAAAGATTTTAAATTGTCCAAAGTTTAAAAATCGAGCTGGAGGACAGGACACAAACTGGCAAATGTTCAACATCTAATCTGTCAGCACAAACTTCAAATACAATACAATAATATAAATAATATAATAATATAATAATATAAATAAAATATGATATTCTGGAATATTGATTTGCTATTATTAATGACTGAAGTTTCAACAATATTTGTCTTTGGGGGGCAGCTACATAAAACAACTTTATTCCCATGCATTGACCAAAGCCATAGCAGTGTAAGCCAACAGGTTATCATGCCAAGTCCTATGGAAGCTAGTGTGCATTCAAACCACATTGTGACCACTGAGCCGTGTGCAGGCTGCCAAAGTGAAGAGATGTGGAACCTGTGGCTAACCATGGACTTCTATAAAGAGGGAGATGAATGGAACAGCTGTTAGATCTCGCTATTCAGTATGACTTTTAAAGGGATATTAGTTTACACATAAATGTGAGTGCAGATAGTGTGGTGTTTTCAAGATAAGATATTAAATACTAATATTGTATAAACCAGTTTCTTTGTGGTATTTGGGCTCCCCAAGTGGTATATAAGGCCCTCTGCACTGCCCTACAAAGGCAGAACGCTGTAATATCATGTTTGGTCAAAAATTAGTTCATGCCATTTTGTTTGTATTTAAGACCTCCTTTATCATGTGAATAAATATTATGAAACATATTGAGCTCATAATTGACCTTTGACCCTTATTTGGTAGTTCCTGTACTCTGCCTTTGTATCATGTGTCAAAAATACAGAGTCGTGCAAAGAAAAAAGGCAGTGACTGTGTTTGTTTTGTTTGTGATTTAGTTCATAAATAGATTTTATTTTAAAATCCAACCTCTCACCTCCTTCTTTTTGTTGCGGCCTTGGCACAGGGTCTTAACACATTAAATAAATAAACCTTTGCAAAATACTTTTACTATCTTTAACGTAAAAGTATTTTGTGTATTTATTCATACTGTAAACACTATACTGCAAAATAACTCATCTGTCAAAGTGTTTAACTGTGTAAGTGTCGCCGCACGATCCTGATCAGCACTAAATATGAAATCCAAAGGTCTTCTATATCATTTCAAACAAACACCAGGATGACTCGACCTTGGTGAGGTTTTCTTATAATGTATGGAATCTGGAGAAAATTAAGCGAATAATGAAAATGTTACAGTTTCTGCCTTTTGCCTTTGCACGACTTATTTTTGGCACATGATACAGGAATTGACAAATAAGGGTCAAAGGTCAATTTTGAGTTCATAATTTTTTTGGACACACCTATTTCTTCATTATAGCAACTAGTTATCAAATTTTGGGAGCCCTACCTATTTTACTTTTGACTGCACAAAACACAGAAACTATGAAGTAATTTTTCTCAGTTTCTCAGTCTTTTGCCTTTGTAGGGCAGTGCAATTTCAGTATGTTTAATAATGTTTTTGACCTCCTTTGGGTTAATCATTTGAAACTACCTTACCTTCCTGTTTTAATCTCATTCTAGACCTGAGGTAGCCTTGGTAATTAGTGTAATAATGAGAACCATGTGCATAAACAACATTATATAGTGTGTTTAATAGTAGTTGCAAAAATGTGACCAATGTGGAAACTGTCAAAAATAAATGAATAGAGTGTCTGAGTCTCTGCTTTTAATAAAGACTTCAAACACAACAAAACAAGAATTCTGAAGTGCCTGAATGTATTCAAACTAATTAAATGCGCCTAACTACAAACCATTTCTTCCACCTGAGCTTTCACAACAAAATAAAAATGAATCCTATACTAATGCAATGATTAACACTAGTATTGCACATTTGACAATAGAGCAGCATGCAAGCAGACCACAATCAGATCCGATGATGAAAAAGGAATTAGTTTCTAGATGTTGCATAATTCATTAATGGGTGGCAAAGTATTCTTGCTAGTGCTTTTGAGCAAAACCATCTATATCTAACTGAATTTGCATTGGTTGTCTAGATGCAATTTAGGCACAGTGAAAAAATGCATACACTTTTAAGCACTGAATTTGGCAATGTTATAAAACAAAAACAAAAAGAGCTAAAAACACAGATCTCCAGTGAGTAATGTGTGGGAATGCTTTGTGGTTGTGGTGGTGCTGCAAACAGAAGTATAGTCAAGTCTTCAATGTGATGTGAAAGCAGGTTTTTGATTGTTAGGAATGTGTATAAGTATGAAATAATACGTGGGGTTAGTATTGCTGCGTTTTTAACTTCAAACTGTATAAATAGTTTTATTATATGGCTTTGTCAAGTCATCTCTGCTGGAACCAAAGATTTCCTGTTCCCTTTCTCTTCTTTCAATAATTGTCCAAATTTGATCCTTCCAAAATATCATTACTCATCTGTGGGTGCATTTTGGAACCACTGAATGACCATCAATAAACAAACACAGTATTTTTGGCAGTGTTATGGAAGTTGTACTCAAGTAAAAGTACAGTTAAATGCAGTAAATTAAAAGTACTGCCAATTTTGCAAAAGTATAAAAGAATATATGAAGTATGCATGAAACATAGTATATGCATGCACTTGTAGCCTTTTGATAAATATGAGCACAATGAGCTAGGGGTGTAACGATATCCAAGTCTCACGATACGATATCATCACTGTACGAACCTCACAATATGATATTTATTGAGATATCGTGGGAAAGCTCACAATATGGTGGGGAGGCTCACGATTAGTCATGTAATAATATCCAAATCTCTCAGTATGATATTTTCACGATATACATTCATGGTACGATATTTATTGCAATATTTTGTGGAGGCTAAACAGCTACAACTGTTAATATGCGATTTTTTCCTCTTAAAATGCCTTGACCAGACTTAATCCAAAGAACTAAGACTTAAAAGTGCTTAGAACTGTTATGTCTTCTTGTAGTCTGCACTGAAATGAAGCAAAGGATCATGGTCTATGTAGTTCCTTCTGTCTTTTTTTAGCTATTGCCCCACCAGAACTCTTAATTTAAGCAAAGAGACTTGTAATTCGATATATTGTGATGGTCCGCGATATTACTGTGACAACTTTGATGATATGATATCACGATATTTCGGTTATTATTCCATCCCTACAATGAGCTAAAAATGCAATCCGATAATAGTACCGTAAAAAAGAGGATATGTCAGTGTGTATGTCAGCTCTAAGGACCAAGCACTAAATCTGGCATTAGTATCTCTCCTTTGACATTCAAAAATAACTATTGGAAATTACCAATTGTGCTTTTATGTTTCTGTTTATAAAGCTGCTGTATGTAGGAGACACATGAGAGAAACACTTGACCTGACTTGCTCAATTCCCTTCCAAACCCTGGGGTCATCCTTTCTCTCTCTCTTTCCCACACACACGCACACACTAATGACACACAGATCGCAGCAGTGGCTTTAACCTGACAGCTTTTCAATGTGATGAGTTATTAAGTCTCCTGGCTGAGGTGAGGTGGCTGGAGGGGACGCTATGTAAACTGGTCCTCTCTCTTTCTCACTCCTTCTCTTTTTCTCTCTCTTGCTCTGCCTCTAACACTTCCTCTCCCCCTCTCCTCCTCTGTCAGACTGAATAAACACAGCGCTCTTTCCACTGCCCAAACTGACTGACAGATACGGCAGATTCCACCTGCGTTAGATCATATTCAGGGGGCGAATGAGTGGGAATCTGTCAGAACTGTCACCTGTGTTTGTGTAGTCAGGTATATTTGATGTCATTCTGTGCTAAGATTATAATCAACAATTAATAATGGATTCATATCAGTGAACTGATGTGAGTAGGTACTGGCAGTTCGTTTCAAAATGTGGTATTTAAGTTAATAAAAGTTCTGTTATTTCTTTAGCTCTTGGAACATTTGATAAGGTGAATGTGCACTATAAGAATAACCATGCATGCATAGTTTCTAAAAGTACTAGCAATAAAATAAAGTATCAAGTGCCACCTACAGTATGTGAAACAGAAATTAAAACATGCTATTTTAATCTTTATGCAGCCAAATGACTCAAACTGAGTCAAATACATTGAATAACAAAACAAAATAAGAAAAACATGAATGTTCCACCGTATTGTAAAACTTTTCTATTTTTCATTTCTTCAATTCTAGTATTTTTATTGCCAAAAATGTCTTATATATGTCATCTGAGGGTCTCCATTGAGACTGTTACATTTTATTTTGGACCCACCATCTCAAAATTTGCATAGTAGTTTTACTTGCAGAAACGAGATTTGCTGAAAGCAAAGTTTGCGGGTAGATTTATGGCCATATAACCAGACCTACTGATACTTTGCAGTTGATGTCATCAACATTCCCTGAGGGTGTGATGGTAATTGAAGGCTCTGCTCTGTCTGAGGCTTTGTTCAACTTTAATCTGTACTTCATTTTAACAACTCTGACCATGAAGAACTGACTTAGTTAGAACTACAACAGGTGAGCTGCTTTGTGCTTTTACACAAGTCTCTCACACATATAATTACAATCACAAGCTTTCTAGGATTAGCAAACGGTTTTTAAGTTTCTCACTCTCACCTTTTTGTTGAAAATCAAACAACAAAACAGACACATGAACACTTGTATTGATCACAGGCTCCTGTCTTGTATAAATCCATGTTGTATTTTTTCAGACAAAATACTAACTATTTTGACTAGGGTTGTGCAAAAATATTGAAATATCTATGTATTGTATCGATTAATGTAATGATACAGTATGGATATCGTGGGCTGCTGTATCGATATATCGCCAAGAGTATTTTTGATATATTTTACTAAATTATTTTGTTACAGCGCTACAGTTTTGTTGCTTGTTTAGTGGAAGGAAATGCGTGTATGCAACACATTTGACACTTTGCACAAGAAGTGGTTTAACAAACACTTTTAAAATCACAGCCATCATTTAGCCATTATTTTTTATTAAACCGTATCTAATCGATTTGAAATATATCGTATTGAATCGAAAATTCACTGTACCAAGATATGTATCGTATCATGGCCCATGTATTGTAGTATGTATCGTATCGGCAACTTCTTAATGATACCCAGCCCTAATTTTGACATTGTTTTGACATGGAAATACATGCAGAAAACTCCCTCTGTGTGATTCACAGCAAAGTATCACTGAACATGTCTTTTATCCAATAGTGTCCCATTCATTATGTAAATGTGGTCTTGTGGTCTGTTTTTGTAAGAATAATTAGGTGATGTTGTAATTGTGCAATATTGGGCTTTGCAGGGTTAAGCTATGAATTGAAAAAGTTAGTAAAAATGAAAAAATAAAATCTAGATAAAAAAAAAAAAAAAGCTTGTTACTCCATTCCTCCCAAAGGAGTTTACTCTGTTTCAGAAGCTAGAGCCGGTCTAAAGCTGTCATGTGTATGAATGAGCACCTGCCTGAAGTCTTGAGAGGGTGGAGAACCAGTCTATTCACTCCACTCATCTCCAGCACAAGAAAATACCAGACAGATCTTACATAACCACCCGAAATAGTACACAACAATGCAGCCAGTGTTTCCTCTCTGATAACTCTCTGGGCCATTGACCAAAATAAGAATCATTTTTCATATCTGTTATAGCACAATTTCAAATTCAGTCTGGGAAATATTTCATCAGGCAAAGTTTTTTTTTAAGCTATTTAGAAGTATGGTTGGATTTCACATTTTTAAAAAACAACCTCACTGGATTTTAAACATTTCTACTACATTTGAAGTAAAAAAAAAAACCCTCAGCTGAACCATAAACTAAAAAAACATTTGGGTAGTTAAGAGATTACTAGTTATGCAAATTATCAATTTTGAACACATTTTTGCTTAGGTTTATAAAGCAAATTACCTAATGTGCTATTTGGAAGAAAATATTGGAGTAATTGAGAAAAAAATATTTGAGGTATAGTTAATTATTTAGGTTTAGATTGTTACCATAGTTACTAGGGATGTGGCCATATCCAAATCTCACGGTACGATATCACAATATACATGTTACATTACAATAATTATTGGATATTTTGAAGAGGCTGAATTGTAGATAAGATCATGATCTACTAGTATATAGTTCCCTCTGTTTATAACCTGTTATGCTACTACTGTGACTATAAAACAATACACTTAAACAAGAGGTTTGTAAATCGAGCTCACGATATTATTGTGAGACCACTGACGATACGATATCATGATATTTCAGTTATTGTCACATGCCTAATTGTTATGTGTGAACATTTTTAAACATTCACAGTTGGAAATTAGCATTATCCAAGTGAACCTTCTTTGTAAGTTCACTGTTTGTGCAAAGTAAACATTTGGTAGCTCAGATCTTGCAGGAGGCAAACCAAACCAGTCTGTCTAAACATCCTGCAGCTCTCACTCAGGCACGTGGAGGAGCCCAGTGTTCCATCTTTGTATTGTCATGCGTGCTGCAACTTGCCCATGTATGCCATGTATTCTTTCTTTTAGATTTCCATAAGACCTGAATTAAATCAAAGCTGTAACTTGAATTATGAAAATTAGCAAACCACAAAAGCTGCTATTATGCAAGTATTTCTACATAATCATAATCAAATCAATTTTGGATATTAAGGAATACACTCTTTATTTAGACTGTAGAATGTAATTTTCAGCAATAAATAATAGCATTTTCTTTTATATTATGAGGTATTATATCTGTGTAAACCTGCCCTGTCCTGTGAATGTGATTTTTTTTAGTATCAATACTTGCTCAAAGTAATGTCTAGTTTCGATATTAGTTTTAGCGTTGATTAGTATCAGATTTTTAATTTTGACAACCCTAGTCATAATAAAACTATAGCAACTTATTAAACAAAATGATGTTGACTCAAAATTTAAGTTATGTGTCTTTTTATGTGTTTCTTCTACTATAACTGATATTTTCTGCCCTAAAATCACACTTTGGTTATGAATTATTGTGAAAACCTCCCAAAAATTCTTTGTTTGCTTAAGTTTAGCTGTTATTATGAATGATTCAACAAAGCAACCATTCTTTCAGTGCAAAGGATACCACACAGAACTGACTCGTAGACACCCACACATCGATAACAACTATAGTCAATATCAGCTGTTACCAGGCAACAAAGTGGTTGAGTGGCTGAGGCAAGGCTTGGACACAGGCCTGTTGTGTTGGACAAATATGCTATTGTTGCTCTAAGGACTCGGGCCTGTATAAACTTCCATTCAGTTATTTGTATTGGCAGTGAAGTGCACTGATTGTCTGGAGCAGAGAATCACAAGGCTGTCACTCACTGGCACAAGCTTACAGAGTGACGAGCTAACAAAGACACTGTACATGGCTTGTTATTGATAGAATAATTACAATGAATTATCAAAAATACTGTTTATAATACTTCTAAACCTGTTGCATTGGTTAATTATCATATAATTATTGTAACTACTACCACTGTAACTACAACTGTAAATAGTGCAACTAATATGTGTGATCTTCTGCCAGGAAAAAAAAAAAAAGTTCAATAACTCAAGAGTTTCAGGAATTTCATGGGCCATTTATAATTGTGATATTAAAAGTCTTGCATCTGTTCATTTCAAGGTGCACTGTGTCACTTTTTGGGGGTCAGTCATCTTCTTATTTCTATGGATTTGTCATTTTTCTGCTTGGAATATTCCACAATATGACATTAAACAGCTTTACCACACATTTATTCAGTTAGAGGGAGTTTGATTGCTCAAAAATACCTAGAAAAACAGGCATTCTGACTTCTAGAAAGCATCTTTAATCTTTGAAACAATGATAAAAAATAATGATTGAACAGTAGTGGCATTTACAAATTGCTACCCTCCCCACAATATTGTAAAAAACTCATACTGAAACTTCATAATTCATGACATTTTGATTTAGTTACTCTACACTGCTTGACAACCCCTGATAAAAGATGCACATATAAACAGCAGTATAGTATTTTATCATCTTACTTGTTAGTTTGTGGAGTGGAGGTGTCTTGAAGGTCTCCAGGGTCAAACAGCTGAGATCCTTTCAGTCCTAAGTCCTCACAGCCGCGCAGGAAAGCACTCAGGTTGTCCTACACAACACAAAACACAGTACAGTTTAACTACTCCTACTCCTACTACTTTACCTGTCCAATACTTGATCAGTTGCATGGTGTCTTTGACTCCTGATTTGATTCAATTAGTGTTAGTAAATACAAAGTCAAATAACAAGCTCACAAGTACAGTGTAAGTACATATATGATTTTCGTTTCTTAAAAATATAAATAAATACATTATAAGATGTCAAGTTAATGACATTCCAATTGTCTTATAACTGCACTACTGTGTAAGCAAATTATCTGCCTGTAACACAGAGGTTTGATGTTTTGGGAAATAAATAAATAAATAATCGTGTTTTGGTTGCATTCTAAGATCTGATTTCAACATTGTTCCAGATTTGCCATAAACTTCCTCCAATTATTTGCTAATATGTAAAACCATCCAGGCAGCTCCAGGCATTTGTTATCCTATGAAAATCATAGGGCATCATAGGGCAGAATGAAAGATTTAGATTGCATGTTGTGATCAGAGTACTGATCACAACATGCAAGCTGTTTAGTTACTGCAAAATTCCCAAAACAACATCTTATATTTAACATTTTTTTATTATAATGTCATATGGGACCTACTGTGTCCAAATAATTTCCCTTGTGGATCAATAAAGTTTGCCTAAGTCTAAGTCTAAGTCTAAGTTTAACATACAGTCAAATCTGCAAAATATGACAAAAAAAATGATGGTATGAAGTAACTATTCTGACAACAGCAGTAAACAATTTGCACAATCATTCTCACTCACACAATCTGTATCCAAAAAATACCTTCTGAAATGTAACGCCAGCTGGTAATGGGGCTCCAACCTCTCAGACTACTCCACTTGTCACACTGTCACTATATTCCTTTGTATGTATTCCTCCAGAAATCCACCTGTTTTCCCTGTAGTCCGTCTTTCGTCTTGCCTCCTCCTCTACTCTGTGCACACTGCTCTGAGCTGCTCTTTGTCAGATGGAACTTGAGCTTCGGTGAGCTACTGTTCCCAGCCTCGATCGCTCTGATTTTCTCTCTCTCTTTCTCTCTCCTTTCCCGCCCTCTTTCTCTCAATCTCTGCCCTCCTCCTTTTTACATTTATATTCTTGTGAGCCACATTATAATGTTGTCCTCAAAACATACCTGAAGTTGTGTTTTGTTTCATTCACACATGTTTAAGGTTTATTAGTTTGTCTACATTTCCAAAACTCAAAACTCTTAACAGCCACACTTTAGCTTTCGTTCAGAAGAAAATGACAATTCCAGGGCTGAAATTATCCAAATGATTCTAGTGAAGGTGTGTGGAGTTTAACACAGTGGACCACTTCTTGCATTAGCATTTGGCATCACAAGTTGTTTTCAGTTTAAGAGAAGAACTCAGCCTAAATATGCAAGATTTTTGTGTAAAACATGTGCGAATGAAACAAAACACAACTACGGGTATGTTTTTGATGAGAAAACAACATTAAAAATCAGAAAATAGCATAATGGGCCCTTAAATGTATATGAGTATTTAGATTATAAAACAAATGTCTTGGTAAATGCCTACCACCTCTCACATTCACCCACCCACACACACCCACACACACAGAAACACACCCACCCACACACACCCCCTCTCCCTCTCTCTGGTTCACATCGAGTCAACTCCTCTATTTTTTGGGTGTCACCGTTTCCTCTCCACCCTGATTGTCAGAGCAGCACTATCTCTTTCTCTCTCCTTCTCTCTCCAACACTGTGAAATCAAGTATACAAACACAAAGGTATTGTCCAATGTTTTGCCAAGTTACAGGTCAGATCTGTGGAGAGGAGAGTCAACTCAACTCACAGTAACAATGCATGTCTTGGCAGTAACTTAATTTGCAAAAAAACACATAAAAAATGCTACATAGATAAGTCTAATACCTTACTGTAGAACATTCCAGGCAAAACAATATCTCCATAGCCAGGCTGGCCCCACCTAGTGCCTCTGCTCAATTTCATTTCTCTCCAGCGACTAGGTCAGGAATCAAAATACACTAGACGGTTTGCAAAAACCCCAGAAATGCGAGTCCCAGCACCACCCAGTCAGCGAAGAGCCATACATTCTGTGCTGTCAGCGATTCCCGATTTAAAGCCGGAACAAAGAGAATTTTTGGTGAATTTTTTTCAAGGGGGAAGACATTATTGCCCTTTTTCCTACGGGATTTGGTGCATTACATAAGTCACGACCAAATAGCAGCGATTGGTTAAATAAAAAAAGTACCCGCCTACGGTCAAGCGAATGAATCCTAACGCTGCGAGGTCAGACGGTTTCCATGGAGTGAAGCCGGCTGATGAATCGGGCTAATATCTCCACAGAGCCAAGCAGAAAAGTTGCATGACTAAAAGTTAGATTCCAATTTCAGTAAAAAGTACCTCTCACTTTTCCTCTAGGTTCCTCCCAGTGACAGCTCCATTAGTTGTGAAGATATTTTAAGAAACATGTATTCACCCCAGTCTTCTGACAAAATTATTCTTTTTTACATGTTTATATTACAATTCCAGGTTTATTCCAGGTTTATTTATTCATCATTGTTTTTGAGAAGATCCCAAACAACACACTAGCTAGCCATTAATAATCTGTTAGCAAATAGTTGTCAAACCCTGACCACACCTGACATGCCTCTATGGTTATGAGCCATTTTTGGGAGTACCATAGTGCTAATAAAGCTGCTCTTGTATATTTTGTACTGCAAGGTTCATTACAAACAAATAAAAAACTGATCTTTGACTCTCTTGTTCTCACGATTTGGACAAACAGTTACTCAGAACCCTCCCCGTGGCTTCCTGCCTTTTTGGGACACTGCCATGGCGCTCTCCCGGTGAGCCAACCCCACCCACCCTCAACTCCCTGCAGATACACCCACACAAGTTCAACAGCATGAGCACACTCTTCACTACAGTGTACTTATGGAGGTCAGATGTGTCCCGTGTGATAGAGGACTCGAGGGACAGTGGACACTCCTACAGCAGGATTAACTAGACTAGACAGAGGACAGCTATGACATTGCATATCAGGGAGGTTTTCTTTAAAGCAGCTGATAACAGTTTTTATGTGATCTCATCAATGCATGTGAATAGATATTTTGATTTTGTGTCACCTTTGATAATCTAAATATTTAGTTCATCTCGATCTCCAAAACTGTACATTTTAACCTACTGAAAACGTCATCTTGTAGTAAGAGTAAGAGGGTTTTTAAAGTGCACACAATTTTCCCAGACTCTTTTATAGGGGCGCGCAAAAGTATTAAAATATTGATATTACCTTTACAATATACGTTTAACGTGATGACAATGTATCGATATTGTGGGCTGCTGTATCGATATATCACCAAGAGTATTTTTTGGTATATTTTACTAAATTATGTAGTTACAGTGCTAGAGTTTTGTTGGAAGGAAACTTGTTTATGCAAAACATTTGACATTTTCACTGTTTTGATGATTTAAATGTCTGTGTTTCATATCAACTTTGCACAAGTGGTTTAACAAAGACTTTTAGTATCACAGCCATGATTTAGACATAATTTTTTATTGAACCATATTGAATTGATTTGAAATATATATCGTTCAGCAACTTCTTAATGATATCCAGCCCTACTCTTTGTGATCATTTGAGAGCTCCTATTGTCTTCACTATGCAACTAATCAACTTTAGTGATAAGAGAAATAGCCTTTAGTTTAGTTAATGGGGCACTATGTAATTTTCTGATGGAGTCAACTGGCTGAATCTATTTTATTGCTCAAAACGTAGTAAAACATGCATTCTTACAGTCTCCACGGAGATAGACAGGTTTAATGCCATACTCTGGCATATTCAAAGCAAAACAATGTCATCTCCAGAAGGTAGTGCACCTTTAGTTAATTTTTAGGAGGTTTATTTGAAAGGGAAAGATGAACCAAAACAAACTGAACTGCAATCCAATGGTGCATGCGTCATAAGGCTTTGATCCAAACTAACTTGCAGCCAATAACCCAGAAATGTGTTTTTGTGGAGAATATTTTGAGTAGCATGGACATAGATCAAGTGCTTTCAATTCTGAACCAAGCTCATCAATGTCTGGAAAATAACCAGTTTTTAAAAATAGAAATTTGAGTACCTTGGTTTCCTTATAACATGACATTTGGCACAACATCCTCATTTCATTTCAAACTGATTTCACGTGTAATGATTTTTGTAGTTGTTATAAAGAGGATGGAGTATCATGTACTGAATCCAATCCATTTGATTCCAAGCCAAGATGTGGGGTTTCCCTGTTATGTCATAATCTGAAAATACCTGATTTCAATGTGCCATAAGCTTTTTTTTTTCCGTAGACATTTGATATTAGCCCGGAAATCCTTTCAAACCCACCTCTCCACATTCTGACGTATTTAAAACAACGTGAAAAATAATCCTCTAATAACTCCCAGAAGCTAACATTACACTTCTCCTAATAACAAATATGCCAGTCAAAGGTAACACATTCCTCTACCAGTCTCACAAATAACACCAATGAATTACTCTGGTTCAACTTGATCTCGGGGTGTTAAGTTTGCACACTGTAAAACCCCAGCATACCAGTAGACCAGGAGACCAGCTACTTACACAACACACTACTAGAGATACACTGCTGCAATTATTTTCTCATAAGACAGGGCTGTTTCGAGCTTTGTGGGCGCCAGAGGCAAAATGTGTCCTGGGTTCCTTCTTTGAAGACTGCACACATGCTGTATCCAAAACAAAAACACTATCTGGGCAAGCAAGGAGACAATTCCAAAAACATAGGATCAGTAAGAAAATGTAAGAAAAGACATGATGCAGTAAGAAATGTATTTACCTTGTTGACAACCAGACAGCTATTTAAAGTGACACAGTTTAACTCTCTGGAGGTGGCACATCATCTGCATGATTACATGGAAATATATATATAAAAAAAACAAAAAAAACATTCACTATAGAGATAGATAAGTTTTATGGAAGAATATAGCCAAAAGAACACAATTTCAATGGAGATAAGCAGGAAGAGGCCCTCCTCTGAATCACCGGTCACAGTAGAGATGTTTTTCATTAACTATCTTATTATTTTGCCATTATGCTATGCCAACTGCTTACTTTAGCATTCACTCAAAATAATCAATACAGTCAGTCAATCAGTACATATAAATATACATAAATATAAAGTGCTTACTTGACTTTTTGAATAATGACATTTGCCTGCTAAACACAAATGTGCAGATGCCGGAAATTGCATTCCCGTTAGCACCCAAAACAGGAAGAGGAAGTAGGGTGTAGCCTGTAGTGTTTTATTACAATCTAGATAACAACAAATTCCTTGTTTGTGTATTCTCACCTCTTTAATTGCTGCCATGGTGACGCAAAACAACTCTGAGAAGGAAAAGGCAAAATTATGCAACTTGCAACCTTGAAAGGGCAGTATTGTACGTGAAAATGCATGTATTTTTATTACTGTTTACATGCTTCCTCATTATGTAAGAGTCAAGTGTCAAAGTAACTTGTAGTGGTGACTCAGTGCCTCTGCGGACCAGTTAGCAGAGGTCACTTCTTGTTTTGCAGTGGACAAACCCAATCAAAATAACCTCCAGCCAATTACAGCGGGCCTACAGGGTCCATGTTGTGCAAATCAGATCAACAGTTTAAACAGGTTTCACATCAACAAAGATAATAAACAAAGTGTCCCTTGTAATTACACCCAGTGACTAGTCAACATTTTTAGCATTTCCAACAGTGCTTTACAATTACACTAAGAATTTAAAGTGCTTGTAGTACAACATTCTCACCACTGCATTTAAGGTTATAGGGTCATATCTGTCTCAAAATACTGTACTTTTACTGACCACAGTACAGTGAACTATGTTAAAAAGAGACATTCTAATTGCCCATTTCCAATAAAATATTAAGCTGAAATATTTATTGAATTATTAAATGTCTTATTATACAGCCACTGTTTAGTGTTGTCTACAATAAAGTGCAAAAATGGTGTAGCTCAGTAGCTCAATTGTCGGAGATGTGATGAACTTGCTGTGTCTGTGTGGACTGTAGCACAGGCACTTATCACATGTGGAGACTAACATCTGTACTGAAACAGTCACTGCATGGACGTGTCAGGGCTATGGAGACCTTCAATATTACATCAGTGGTTTAAAGTTAAGATGCTATGGGCTGATTTTGGTAAAATACAAGATTTTAGGTTAACGTTAAGCCTGGTGTCCCGTCTTATAAAATGGTTGGATGTCACACTACACAACGTGAGCAATTTAAATCGTACAACAACACACGCCCACCCTCTGCACTGGGGCATGTGATCAGTCTTGGCCAAGTTTGTCTGAGTGAGTATCAGGCTCCAAGCTCTGTGTGGCAACGTGTCTGTAGTTGTACAGGTGAGGGTAGTGCTTCAGACACCAGCACAGACAATCTTTGGCCACACAACAGTTAAAAAATGTTTAGTTTCTTTGTCCTGGCCTCACTCTGAGACCTACAACCCATTATTTTTAGCTACAACCCAAGATTTTCAGGGTTTAGAGAAATAGTTATGGTAATCTCCAGGAAATTAATGTAAGTCAATAAAGCATGGGAACACATTAGTGTAAGTGTGAATTAGTGCATTTCCTTAGTTTTTAATACCAAAAGAATACTACCAGTGCTAACAAATATTTTTTTTTTGCTTGTATGCAAGATTGAACAACTGGGATTTAATATCTACTCCAGAAACCAACTTGTCAGTGTGCTCTAATGATATCCTTAGATACGTCTATTTTTCTGGCCAGCCCACACTTCCTATAGTCAGATAGAATAAGCCTGTGAGCCCTGTATTACCTCCACTCCCTGCAGGCCGGATCTCCGCCTTATCCCCTGCCTCAAAGCCCTGTCCTCCATATTACTCTGTCCTCTCTGCAAAACATCCACCACATATCAAACTCAACATTGTTACATAAAGCAGGGCCCTGAGAGGTGCACTCCAGGAGGAAGGGCTTGTGTTTACATGTAAGCTTAGGGTTCTAAAAGGACTACTTCATTCGCATCACTGTCATCATTTGTCATGAAAGGGCTCCACTGTAGTACACTCCAAATGTATTGCGTAAAACATTTTATAAGCAGGACGTGGATGTATACTTAGAAGAATACAGTCTTTGATGGAGAATTCTTTATAGAATAACAGTTTATTTAGTCATGGGTTGATACTGGAGAAGTATTGAGCTTTATTTCATCAGTTTTCCTATGGCTCCTGACTGTCTTTTTGACCCCTTGAGACTGAAGTCTGAGAATTGCTATCTGCCGCTAGGTGAAATCAAATCCAGTAAACAGGAGGAGCAGACAAAGAGACAATAGTGAAGACATTTTCTGTATAGTTTGACAGGAGTGGCAGTGGCACAGTGCATTCAGCATTCATTCATCGCTTCAACCTCAACCTCATATTCATGTTGTGTCCTTGAGCAAGATACTTTATCCACATTGTCCTTTCCAGCAATCAAATTTAACGTACCAGGGAGGGCACCCCGAGGAATGAATGAATATATAAATACACTGCACTCAGTAATAGCAAGTAACGTTACTTCAAAATAATAGTACTCAAGCAATACAAAGAAATTACTCAAGTAAGATAAAAAAAATTTTTAGGAAAAGTATTACTAAGAATAAGAATAAGAATAAAGAGTAACTGTTGGTGGATGTAACATTTGATTTATAAGCTTATGTAGTGGGAAGAACACAACAAAAATACTATTAATAATGCATAAAGTCTGGTATTTTCAAAGGTTAGACATAAAAATGAGAAAAATTAAAACATATCTGGAGAAGCGGTGCAAGAAACACATGCGACAAATGTTCAAATCATTTAAGATTGTCAACGTAAAGCTTTTGTCACTCGTAGACTTACTCACAGTAATAAGCAAAACCTTTTACTCAAGTAAGAGTACCGTATTTTGCTATAAGCCACACTTTTTTTTTTTCATGATTTGGGTGGTTCTGCGACTTATACTCCAGGGCGACTTATATATTCAAATTTTCACACTGACTGCCGTGAGAGGGCGCTCTAGGCTTGTGTGTCAGTATCTAGTACTATTATTACTCCTGTACAACTGTCATACTGCGCATGTCTCCTGCAGAAAAAGCGGCTGTCCTGCTGCAAGAAGTGAAATTTTCATCTGAAAATGGTAATCGAGTAGCAGCAGAAAGAAAGTTTGGAGTGAGCGAGAAACTTGTGAGGAACTGGCGGAAAGCAGGGATGAAGAACACAGCGTCACAACAACCGGGAAGGTGTGCCGTGCAACTTTCCTGGAAGTCACTGTATGGATCGACAAAGACTGGACCAAAACCATCCTGTCGGGATTCAGAAAGACCGGAATAAGTCTAACTGGAACTGATGCTGAGTCTAACGACAGCTACACAGAAGAGGAAGCGGCGCTCTGTTTACCACATGGAACCATAGTTTACCTCCAGAGGTCGTAAAGTTGCTCAGACCTGACACAGAGGATAAAGAATTCAATGGATTTAGTGATTTGGAGTGAGATTGAGAGTTTGGTAAACTTGTTGTTTGTGCTACAGTTATCTGAATAACTGTTAATATGTTATGTTAACATACCAGACACCTATTCAGCCAGTTGTTCTCTATTCTATTGTTATTACTATAACTTGCCTTTCAAGATGAAATGTCAGTTCCTGGTCTCTGATATTATAAAAAAAATTTCCCCCAAAAAGTGCGACTTATAGTCCGGTGCAACTTATATATTTTTTCTTCTTCATTACGCATCTTTTGACTGGTGCAACTTATACTCCAGAGCGACTTATAGTCCAAAAAATATGTTACTGTTACTTAATTAAAAATAGAATTAGTAGAAAAATTAGAATTTTAAATTTACATGTATGCTGCTGGAAAATTATTTCTTCCAAAGATTATGCATGTAAACATTGTAAATGAGTATTACTCACCTAGCTGATGAAATGTAATGTAGTGGTAATAACAAGTATGGAGCAAAAATAATGCTTAAAATAATGCTTAAGGTGAGCGTAGTGTCAAATAGGAGCAACTATTATGACGCTAAGACCTCCCTCCCTGATAAGATATAGAAGATATGTGAAAAAATAGATAATCTGTGAACTTACCAGACCAGCTATGGGAGTTGGAAGTCTGTTGATTTTCTTCACCAAGCCAGGTTTAATGGAACTCAGCAACCTGCAAAAACACACACAACATCATATGATAACAATGAATCCCAACACATTTCTAATTACACAAATACTCTTGAGTTTGGCAATATATTATACAATTTCATATCCAAGTTCATAAGGATGTCCATGGAATGACAAACTAGCCAAAACAAAGCTACCTCCGGGCCAAATGGATGAGTGTGAGAACAATGTACATTAGCTAAACTTACTGCATGCCTGCGTCTGCATAGTTTACACTGAGAAAAACATTCAGAGACTTTTGCAGCTTCTAGGATTTGTTTACAGCTCAGTGTGAATTTCATGTCAAAACTAAATTCACTGGGCAAGATTGTAAATTGTCTGTCCAAATAAGTTAAACACTGATAAGAACAACTTGCTGAATAAACAATATAACTAGAATAACATCAAGCCTATATTTATCATTGTAAGAACTTAAGCCACACATTTAGAAACACATTGGCTAACATATGAAGGAGTTGTTGTTCAAGAATTTTCAGTTCAAAATTTCAGAGCGTAATTTGTGTGAAAATTCAATCTGCACACAATTGTTGGTCACTTACTATGGCAACATGGACAAACATCTAAAATACTATCCATTTATGTTACTTTTTAAAATATTTTGAGTTAAACATGAGCCCAAACAAAAAAACACAGCCATTTGCTGCTACTAAACCTGAGCACCAGTACTGAGTAACATTTAGGTTAACTTTAGTGTAAAATGTGTTTGGTGATGACAGGTACAAATATTTGAAATGTCTTTGGAACTGAGTGATGGGTCAAATGCAAAGGACACATTTCTCAGTACAAACTTTAAAGCAATATAAACATTCGAAACAGACCGATTTTTCATGGCCAAAGCAGATACTGATTGTTTAGAATTGTGAGGGTCCGAAAAGCTCTGCTGATGTATTTGAGCTGATGTGTGCCAATTTAGATAATTTTCACCAAATTTTGTAATATATTATACAGTTATTACAAATTTTCTTGTCTTGGCTTGGATTCTTGTCTCAGCTCTTGGCGAGGGTGGATGTGTTTTCTCTCCTCTCCTGCCCCTTATCTTCCCAGCTTTGCCTCTCTGTCTCGTCTAGTTTAGTGTCTTATACCTTTGAGAGACTCTCTCCGCTTTGCTCTCCAAACCTAAATTAACTGTGGATTTGATAAGTTGGTCTCTCAGCGCAACTGACACCATTTTTTTCAACAAGAAATGCAGGCTGTTCTTTCTTAAAGGTGCGCCTGAAATAATGGCAATCAATACCTGAATTTCCCCTTGGAGATCTATCTATCTATCTAAACTCATCCACAGCTCCCCATCCCATTAAAAAATTTTTTTTTTTTACAACAAACCTTCAAGAGTGTAGTCACGTGTTGTGCAGTTGCCTTTTTCGCACTGTAGTGTTTTAATAAAGCTTTATGCGTATTCTTTAAACAGCAAACTGGCCAAAGCAAAATATCGGCCTGTGCTGGATACTCTAAAAAACACAAATATCGGCGTCAGTATTTTCATTTCATTTTGAACAAACATCATTGCCATTTCTCTGCTGATAAACCAAGTGGCTCTCACAGCTGAGAACTTTAACACATTCCTTCAGGCTGGGACTGACTGTCAGACGTGAAGCTCCCGCCTCCCTCTTCCTCTCTTCTTCTCTTGTCCTCTCTCTATCTCACTCGCCTCTTTCTCCATCTCTCTCTCTCTCTCTCTATGTCTCTTTAGCACCTCCTCCCCTCTTTCTGTCTGTCTCTGTCTCTCACTCTCATTTCTCTTTACCTCTTTCTCTCCCTTTCTCTTCCCTTCTCCTTTTTCCTTCTCTCACTCACTCTCCTCTCTTCTCTTCCTCTTTCTTCAGTTGTCTCTCTGCTTTCCCCCTAGTTGTCTCTCTACTTCTCTCTCTTCTCACAGTCTCTCTCTATCTTTCTCTATTTCTCACCCTTTCTCTCCCTCTTTCAATTCTTTCTCTTCTTTCTCTCTCCCCATCTGCTCCCCCCCTTCTCCACTTTTCTCTTCCTCTCTCCCCTTCGCGCTCTCTCTCCTTCTCTCTTCTTCGCGCTCTTTCTCCCCCTCTCTCAGCGCCTCTCCAGTTTCATCCTTTGTGCATGTTTTCATCAGAGGAAACAGTGCCGCAGCTTAGCCCTGTAGAGGAAACCCACGCCTGGATACTGTTACAGGGTTGAATATCGGCCGGTCTGTGATCTGCCAGTGCTTCGGACGTTCTTCTATGATAAATAGTCTAAATTAGCCCACTTTCGGTCAAGCCAGGAACTATATTTCTGTTAGACATATATATTAGCCTTGAGGGACGGGTGTTCTGAGCTGTTTTGTGTGTAAAATACTCGTATGGTTCAGTAGAGGGGTAGTAGGCAAAGTATGAAATTGAGTATTTTACACACAAAACAAAGCCAAGGTCAAGCTTCAGGATTTTTGAAAGTGGTTGGGTTACTTTACAGTATCGGCTATTTGAAATCTGCTCTTTAGCTTGTAGCAAGTCAAACGATCACCTGTCAATGTGCAAAAATGTGAAGACAGAAAATATGGGTGGGAAAACTGAAAAAAATGTGTGTTTAACTTCTAGACTTATTTCTATCAGGGCTTAACATCAATCATCAATCCAATATTCATTTACTAAAGTGATTATCAGAGGTGGGGACTTGCAAGTCTTGGACTCGAGTCAGACTTGAGTCACTATTTTTTGGACTTGAGACTTGATTTGATAAAATGGACTAAGACTTGAGACTTGTACTTGAAGATGTATGACTTGGGACTTGACCCTTGTGATTTGAGAAGGCTTAATTCTTCACCTAAAAACTATAGGTTGCTAGAAAATACTTTTCTGTTTACAGTTGTTACATGCGCTGCTTAATTTTACAGGAACAAACTGGAACATGTCCCTGGCTATTTGTCACTTTGGTTGTAACTGAAGTACTGTGATATGGTATCCTCAAACGTACTACAGTAAAAGACAGTACAATACAGTAAATCAGAGGGAACTACAAGGAACATGATCCTTCCATTTCAGTGCAGACTACATGACAAAATAACTGTTATTAAGCACTTTTAAATCTAAATTATTTCTATTCTGGCCATAATGATTCGCACTAAGATCTTCTCAAGACATTTAAAAGCAACTCTTATATAGATACTCGTATACAAATATACCATGGCTTTTAAGTACAATTTAGCTTAAATGTCATATAAATCTAAACTATATTTGTTACTTTGGTTTAAAGACTTGAAATGACTTGAAGCTCAAAGCAAACAACTTGGACTTCAGTTGGACTTATGGGCCAGTGACTCAAGACTCAACTTGGACTTGCCTGTATTTGCCTTGGGACTTGACTCGGAACTTGAGGTCAAAGACTTGAGACTTACTTGAGACTTGCAAAACCACAACTTGGCCCCACCTCTGGTGATTAATTACTCGGGTTACAAAAATTGTCTAACTGAGATTAAAAGTAAAGGGTCCATTATAAACTATTTTCTGATCTATGCTTTAAAGTTGTTTCCTCATCAAAAACATATCCTGAGTTGTGTTTTGTTTCATTCACACATGTTTTAACACACAAATCCTGCATATTTAGGATAAGTTCTTCTTGAACAGAAAACACTCAACGCACTGATGTCATGTGGTATCAAAGCAAGTGCTCAAATGTGTTTTTAAATTCCATACACCTTCGCTAGAATCATTTTGGATGATTTCAGCCCTTGGATTGCCAATCTCTACTGAACTTAAGATAAAAGACAGCTGTTAGTTTGAAAACTACCACTAAGACATTCCATCCCAAGGTAGAACACAGCATTTTGAGCTTTGGAAAAGTAGACAGACTCATAAACCAGGTTTCCTCAAACATATGTAAATGAAACAAAACAATTACAGGTATGTTTTTGTTAAGATCAGTGCTAAAGTCTGTATTTTTTTTTACTATATCAAAAGATGTTGACAGATAAGGCTGTTCCCACATTCCTAATTAATGACACTAAAATTTATGTCAGGCTTGTTATAAAATCCCCCCGAAAAACTAACAAAAAACATCTGAGTCATCAAATACCAACTTAGTATTCTGGCTCAACATGTGAACAGTATAATTCAAAGAGGCCTCAGCAGGCGATCAGCTAAATGAGTTTGATGTCTCCAATGACAATAGAAGCTCTGTCCAAACCAGAACAGAGGAATGCAAAACAAAGACAGTGTTGCAGCTTAATCTGGAACACACTGGACTGCTAATTTCCCCATTAAATCTTCACTGTGGGACAATGTATGTGGTTTATTGAGTGTGGAAGATGGTCATGTGAAGAGGCATATTTACAATACAGTGAGCAATTATGACACATGACCACAGACAGCAACAAACAATGGAGAAAAGAGGAGGCCTAATGAGTGTGATCTGTCTTTTCAATTTTAAGTTATTGTTAACACGGCAACTGGGGTGTAGTGGGCGTGGTACGTGGGGGTACAACATCCACCTACTTCTCCCAATGTGAGATATAAAAAAATAACAAATATAAAATAACTACAACTTAAATGTCAAATGGGAGCTATTGGCAATGGTGAAAACAATCTGCATAGGCTCATGATATCTGCAGTACAGTTCTATAGTGACCTGCCACATGAGGGACCAGGACTGATCCCAGGACTGAACCAGGACTGAACCAGGACTGAACCAGGACTGAACCAGGAGGACTAGACCAGGACTAAACCAGAAATAAATAGGAGTGAACCTGGACTGAGTATCGGGACGGACCGTCGGGTGACCGCAGGCGAAAGGATCGGGGCTAAGCGCAGCCGATCGCACTTTGCAGACACCCTGCTCCATGGGCCTGGAATTCTCTCTCTCCCTCAAGTCCAGGTTTCTCTTAGTTCTGGTTTAGACCTGGTTTAAACCTGGTTTAGACCGGGTTTAGACCTGGTTTAGACCGGGTTTAGACCTGATTTAGACCTGATTTAGTCCTGGTTTTGACCTGGTTTAATCCGGGTTTAGACCTGGTTCAGTCCTGGTTCAGTTTTGGTTCAGTTTTGGTTCAGTCCTGGTTTAGTCCTACTGGTTCAATCCTGGTCCATGTGTCGTTGCCTATGATTTATCTTCTGTTGTGTTTATGAACTGCGTTAATGATAATGTTAACAAGATTCCACATAATTTTGAGTAAAAAACATAAAATATTACAGATTTTTATTGGGCTGGTGCATTTATGTTTGTACTCAAAGTGTTTTTTTTTTTTTTTTTTAAATAAACAAAGAATCTACAGTATATAACACCTGTGTATATTTCGGCATGTCAAGATGAGTGTACGGCTTTTGGGGTGGAGGTGAATTGAGGTGGTGGTGGGGGGACTCATCACATCGATAACGTCACAAATCATGTACCCCCACTTAAAATCTCACATTGATAATATCTGTAAAATAATTTATCAAACCAAAATACAAAATTCTTCTGATATATACACTTCTTATTCATTACTTCTTATTAATTCCAACTAAACATTAGACAGTAAAATAAATAATTTTTCAGTGACTTCCAACCTGGGGTGGCAGTAACTTTAGATTGTTACCAAAAAATATCTCCATGATAAATGTGCTAGAGGCTATGATGGTAAATGGTCACATTTTTCTATAGCGCTTTTCCACCTTCAAGGCACTCAAAGCACTTTACAACAAGGAACCACTCACCCATTCACACACACATTCACACACCAGTGTACGCAGACACTGTGGGCAAGGTGGGTTAAGTGTCTTGCCCAAGGACACAACAGCAGCATTCCTCTGTGGGAGCTGGAATCACACCAGCCAACCTGTGGGTCAGCGGATCTGACTGCTCAACCTATGATGTTTTATGTCGAGAGCTGGATTTGAACCGCCAACCTTCAGATCAGTGGGCGAATGCTCTACCTAACTGAGCTACTGTCACCCACATGATAGGGTACATTTCACAAGATCTAGTTCCATAGGACAATGGGCATGTCCCAGCACGGTAGAAGTGCTTCAGAAATGCTGTCATGGGTAGAAATTTGCATAAATCTGTAAGGTTACCTAGGTTTTATTATACATGTTATTATGAAGGTTTTGTTAAATAAGTAAATAAAAAGTGAATAGTTTTTAGGGTTAGCATTGGGTTACTTGTACATGGCTGGATTGACCTGGCTCTTTTTAGGTCTGTCCTAGTTTTAAGTCTTCCTTGCGACTTACACTTATCTCATGAGAGGCATGAGATAACAAAATGACATTTAGCCCAGAAAAAAATTATGATGCTTTCACCAAAATAGAGAAAAAAAAATATATAAAAATGTTGCCAGTTCGGTTTTGTCAAAAACATGAGGGACTAAAATTCAAAACACAATGGTTCCAAATGGCAGGTTAAGCAGAGTTTCAGGTTAAAATAAAGGTGCAGTGTGTAACTTTCCCGATTGAGAGTCAGCCACCTGCTTGTTTCCATGGAGATCGTCAATGCCTAGAATGTTCCAAAGTATGGCATTAAACATATCTCAATGCAGACAAGCACGGGGAAGTTACAGATCTGTTTTAAGTAGAGCCCGACCGATATGGATTTTGTTGTGGCCGATATGAAACCGATATAATGGGAGTTGGAGCTGCCGATAGCCGATATAATCGCCGATATATTTAGTGATATAAAAAATTCACTGTAAATCTTGAATTGATTAAAAAACATTTGTTGTTATTTTGACTCTTTACATCATATTTACATACAGTAGATTGGCCTAATGGCATTTTTGCATCACATTCTAGCTACTGTTACTGTCACTGCTAGTGATGGGTATTCCAGTTTTTTTTGTTTTTTTTGGAGAACCGGCTCGGCTCACTAAAGCAGCTGGCTCTTTCGGCTCCCAAGCGACTCTTGAGATTGTTTTGTTGCAAGCAGGACTAAACCAGAACTGAACCAGGACTGAGTGTCGGGACTCGGTTTCTATCTTTCTCCTGCACTCGAGCCCAAGATTAGTCCTGGTTTATTCATTTTATGCTGAACTGCAGCCAAATATGCACTTTTTTTTATCCTATGCACACGCAGATTTCTGAAAGTTCAGTTTTCAGCCGCTGCTGCTGTCAAACTACGGGTCTACATGCTGCATGAAGAGAAAAAGTTAGAAAAAGAGAAAACACGGCTCCCAATAAGAAACATGCTCCCGTTGTTCGCTTCAAAGAGCCGGATCTAAGAGCCGCTTCGATCGCGACCGACCCATAACTCCTAGCTAGTAAACTACTGCTATTAGCCTTTAGCCTGTAAAAATGTGCGCACCGCGGTAATTAATTATATGCATAAATGTGGATCATTCACACGTCTGTTCACAGCTCATTTACATATCAATACTGGTCCAGTAGCAAATATACGGCCAATGTAGTCACTTTACAATAGACCAATAGAAAACAGCCTGTTTATGTGCGGGAGCTACAGCAGCTAATTGCTAACAAAACCTAAACTAGCTTCAAAGTCGATGTATTTCCAACACTCACCGCTCTCACAGGCTCCTCCTCACATCACAAGTCTGCACTAATAAATGTCCTTTTAATCCAGACTCAAACGATTGTCCGAAAAAGAATATAATCTCAGTGTTGCGCAACGCTGCGGGTGTAAACAAGAACACGTGAGTGAAGTGATGTCACTCTGGTGGTGTGTTCAGGGACAGTATGGACACAGACACAGACAAATTACACCGTAGATAAATACTGATGCAGAGCCATTAGGACATTTATCTGTCTGTAAATTGGATTAAATGAACATAATGTAGAGAGTCTAAGCTTTATAACGAGATATAACATGCCCACGTGAAATATCGGCCCATATCAACAAGCATATCGGCCGATAGCCGATATGTCTCCAGGTGCCCATATTGGCCGATAATATCGGCCAGCCGATATATCGGTCGGGCTCTAGTTTTAAGTACAAAAGCATTGTTTTTCAATGTATTTATTTGTTAATTAAAATGCAAATAGGGGCTACACATTCAATAAAGCAACGTTAAATAAATCACTTTTGAGTTTGAATATTATCTGAAAATTCAACACTAGTTAAATCTTAGTCAAACACAGGAGGGTTGCTCATAATTTAGAGAAGTAACTTGATTTAGTTAAAAGTGGGTCACAAACTAATAACTCGGGATTGATTCATTTTTTTATTTTGAGTTTGTGGCAAAAGAGAAACAATAATCATACTGCAGAAAAGAAAAGCACATTTCTTGAGAAGGATAAAAGTACTTCTTAGTGTACTTCTGACCAAATGAATAAAGCAAGCTCTAAAGCAGTTCTATTTGACTGACTCTGCCCAGAAAGTCAATGGACCCAGGTTGGCAGCGTTACGTAACAACAATAAAACACAAAATTTATGTTGCCACTTACTCGCATAGGAGTATCCCGTTCTCCAGGCCTCCTCGGAAATCCTTCTCACCAAAGCATCGTCCTGTCACAGCCTACACAAAAGGGAAAAAAAAATTTAAAAACAGCTCTATCTAAAGTCCATTCACATATTGGTGAGGAACGCACAATGATCAGTAGCCTATCCACACCGTGGGCACGTCTCCACTTTAAATCTTGTAGAATGGAAGGTGCCGGTTGTATTCCTGCTCCCCTTGACTCACAGCACTAAACACTAACAAGCTTGCCATAAGCCACCATCATCCCAGAGAGCAGCTGAGCGGGGCTAATGAGACGTGACAGGGGATTTAAGCAGTGGCAGTGGGCAGAGGAGGAAAGGCTGTGGTTTACATGGGTTTGCATGACTACACTGGATTATTAGCATGCGTGCGAGGGTTGTTCAGGTAACAAGTGGGATATGTGCAACTGACTGCTAATAACATTACAGGTATTAAAGTGTTTTTCATTTTTAAAGGAGGAGTCTGGGATTTTGGACATAGGACCTCATTTCCGAGTTAGCCAGAGTGTTGGGGACATATGGAGACACTTTTTTAAATATTCCATCCAGTCCTTGTATTTCCAGAGGTTGCTGGGACTAGGCTAGTGCATGTCTATGACCATAGTTAGCCTGCCACTAAAAACAGTATTACCCACTCCACAAAATACCTGAAGCAAATCTATTCTTATGCCAAACTACTGATGTAAATGTCTGTGTTGATAGAATAATGCTTGAAATAAAACTAACCTGGCATTGGATGAATCGTCGCATGTTGAGGGACTATTTTCTCAGCAGCAGCGGAATTTTACTTTGCTGGTAAGATAGGTGTAGGTGATATCAGTCCACCACTGTCAAGCTTTCTATCAGGAAGTACAACTCACTGCTGCCCAGACATAAATCCTTCAAATGCAAGGTTGGTTTTATTTCTAAAATTATTCTATCAACACAAACATTTACATCGATAGTCTGGCGTAATAATAGATTTGCTTCAGATGCTTTGTGGAGTGGATTTGTGGCAGGGTAACTATGGCCATTGACATGCGCTAGCCTAACACCAGCAAAAAAGTGTCTCCAATACTCTGGTTAATTAGGAAATGAGGTCCTACATCCAAAATTCTGGACTGTTACTTAAATGTCCGAAAACAAGGAAGTGCGTTGATAGCATGCTAGTTGTTCGATATGGATTTTGTTGTCAAGCGACTCTTGAGATTGTTTTTGCAAAGGATAAAATGAACCAGGACTAAAAGGACTAAACCAGGACTAAAACAGATTTAAACATGTGTGAAACAGGACTAAAACTGAGTGTCGGGACTCGGTCTATATCTCTCTCTCAAGACCAAGGTTAGTCTGTTTATTTTATGCTGAACTGCACAAATATGCACTTTTTTTTTTATCCTATGCACACGCATATTTTGAAAGTTTCGTTTTCAGTCGCTGCTGCTGTCAAATACGGGTCTACAAGCGGCTTGAAGAGAAAAAGTGAGAAAAGAGGAAACACGGCTCCCAATAAGAAACATGCTCCAGTTGTTCGCTCTAAGAGCCGCTTCGATCGCGACCGACCCATAACTCCTAGCTAGTAAACTGCTATTAGCCTTTAGCCGTAAAAACGTGCGCACCGCGGTAATTAATTATATGCATAAATGTGGATCATTCACACGTCTATTCACAGCTCATTTACATATCAATGCTGGTCCAGTAGCAAATATACGGACAATACAGTAACTTTACAATAGGCCAATAGAAAACAGCCTGTTTATGTGCGGGAGCTACAGCAGCTAACAGCTAACTAGCTTCAAAGTTAACATATTTCCAACACTCTGCTCACACAGGCTCCTCCTCACATCACAAGTCTGCACTAATAAAAGTCCTTTTATCCAGACTCAAGACGATTGTCCGTAAAAAGAATATAATCTCAGTGTTGCGCACCGCTGCGGGTGTAAACAATAGCACGTGAGTGAAGTGACGTGACTCTGGTGGTGTGTTCAGGGACAGTACGGACACAGACAAATTACACCGCAAATAAATACTGATGCGGAGCCACATAGGACATTTATCTGTCTATAAATTGGATTATATGAACATAATGTAGAGAGTCTAAGATTTAAACGGTAAACATGCCCAGGATAGCCATATGCGTTGATATGTCTCCAGGTGCATATTGGAAGATAATATGCGATATAGTTGTTGTTAGTTTTACTGTGACAGCAAAACTCTGGCTCTGGCAACTGAACGTTGTGAAATGTGCTTATAAACTTTGTGGTGAATAATTCGCATACTCTGAAAACATGAGGAAAAACTTTGGATCATTGCAAACTCTGTTTTGACTTTTTGCATTTAACTAGGAAGATAACAAATCAGGCCACACAAATTAATAGAAATTTCTCAGTATTCATTTTACATTTGGAAAAAGCATGATAATATTAAAATTATGAATATTGATCATAGGTCCTTAAAAGTAAGGCAGTTTTTTTTTCAATTTTTTTTCTACTTTTGATCATACATTTTTAGAAATATAAATTAAATAGTACAAATATTCACTCTGTCATCAAAATCCATCAATTATCAACATGTAACGCAACAAAACCAAAGTAAATAGTTACAAGCAAGCCAACAAAAATATTAAAATAAAACCTAACATACACATTTCGTCACTTTTCCCAAGTTCCAAAAACGTCCACATGACAAATTTGCAGAAGCACCATATGAAACTCTTTACATGGAAATTGTGAGCCCACTGTCTGCTCTGCTGTAGCCATGCCTCCAGACCTGCTCCTCCTTCCCTTTATTCACACAAACACTGGCCCACACTGGAGGGGAATCCCTTTAGACTGCTGCTGGGGAAGCCAAAACAATTAGCAGATTAACTTTCCTTGTACATTTATTTACACAGCTGTGAGGGAGAGAGCTGTGGCTGGGCTGCAGGTTTCTGTCAGCTCCTCGAACCGTTGGGGAGTATGAGTTAATTACACAAGTGAGTGTATATGCTGCTATATGGAGACATGACATGGGCACTGTTTGTAAGTGTATAGGTTACTACAAGGTATAAGCTGAATGCATAAAAGTAATATGCAAAAGGACAGATGCCGGCAAGAACCCAGTGAAAGGTTCAAAAGCGGAAAGTACTACTCACAACGTAGGTAGTTTTTACAGTGCTCCAACTAATCATCTTACATATTGCAAATTGCTGATCTGAAAGAAAATTTAGGAAAAACAAAAAATATATATACACTAAACACTAAAACAAAATCTTTTAGAAAACTATGAAATATCCAAAATTAGAAATCTTACAATGGTAATAAAATAATTACTTACAGTTTAATATTGTTACTGTATTCTGACTCATAATATTACATTGGCCAAATGGATGATCACACTGAAAATATGGAAAAAATATACTAGAACACCAAAACATAATTTTAGATGCCTGAAAATGGCTGTGTATGCATTGAATTCATAGAACCATTATCAATGATTATCAAAAACATGGGGAGAGAGTGCAGAGGTTGAATGAGTGGGGTGTGAAATAGTTTTCCTGGTAGAATTGACCCCTTAGTTTAATATATATCTAAAGTAAAGATCAGCAGATAGGCTATGGGTTTTGCCAATGCCAATATCAATGCCATGTTTTTTCAGAACCCCAGAGCAGTCGAAGGCTAATAAGCTCTGGAGAGATTTTGAGGCCAAATTTTGCTTTTACCAACAGGTACTGGCCCAGTACATTTATACTTTGCAGTGACATAACACTGGAGGTTTTCTACATGGCTGAAAAACACATAATTGATTTAACACATTTTCAGGAGCCTGTGATCAATATGAGCATGTTTACGTTGACATGTGTGAGAAGAACACAAATCACTTCACCTGTTGTAGTTCCAGCTAAGTCAGTTCTTTAGGGTCAGATTGTGTTAAAATAAAGTTCAGATTAAAGTTGAACAAAGCCTCAGACTAAGCAGCGCTTACAGGTAGCATCACACCCCCATGGAATGTCTAATAAGCACTTATTTAACTCTTAATATATTGTTCACATTAATCATAGACAACAACATTAGAGATTAAACAGGAAATATAGCAATATCTCCCAGTCTGCTGACATTTAATCATGCTTATGCCTAAGAATTGCTCGGTGGGACAGCAGTAGTGAAAAGGCCATTGTATTCCTATGCCTGCCATTTCAAAGTGATGATTGAGCCCCTAGACTCCAAACACATGTGTGACCCCCCATACATACACAGTACAATGTGCCCCTACTGTACAGAGGAGCAGACATAACATAGTGCATGAGTGGTGACATAAAGGGTCCAGTCATCAAAGGCAAATATGGAAACTGTTTGACTAGAAAAGCTGATGTCTTGTTTTTTTTAATGCAGGCTGGCTACACGTACACAGATAATCTGATATATTCAAATAATATGTCACCATGGAAGTAGGCAAATCTAAAAATGTCAAACCCTGTTCCTCAATGGTGAAAAATAAACACTGGTGAAACTTAAAATGCAACTAGTTTCCAGTCGGGGGTGTTTTTATTTAGCTCACATCAGATTGATATGTGTAGCACCCTGAATTGAGTTCCACACATCAATCTGGAACGGCTCTTACTGAAAGTGGTCAGGAAAAGACTTGACAATATTTGTGCTAACAGCCGAACAAGTCAATAAGTCAAACTTTTGTTTAATCCATTAGAGAGAAACGCACAGACATCTTTCCCCTGAAAAAGTGCTAATCTGTATTTCCATTAAATAGTACGTCCATCAAAGTTGCCATGTTTGTTTTGGTCTGTTTGAGCACTTTACTTTTGGCTTCCACCCAAACCACAATGCTGTCCTGTGATTGGACTGAACCACAGGTTAACCCAAGCAATCACAACAGCGTGAGTCAGACCAGATGGATTCTTGGGAGTTTGTGAACTAACAAATATCACATGAATTCATCTTGTGCTGACTAGGTTAGCTTTTATTGCCATGAAAGATGTGTGTAATGGTGGCGTCTTGTCTACTTGTCTTCATGGTGGTGATGGTAGTAGTTATAGTAGTTGTCAGAAAAGTCTTTGTAATTTGTATA